AAAATTATTTCCAATTCACCTAAATCTATTTACCCTGTAATTACCGATATTGCTAAACAAATCTTGAAAGGTGTAATACCTTTAAAACCTAAACATAAAACCCAACTCAAACGGTATAAGAAAGATTTACGTCTTCTTACCGGTAAATCTACATTGAAACAGAGACAAAATCTGATTAATCAGAAAGGAGGATTCTTACCATTATTAATTAAACCAGCATTGACACTATTAGCAACAATTGCTGCAAATAAATTGTCGAAATAATGAATACAGTAACCCGAATGTACTTAGTTTCTGAAGATCAATATAAACGTAATGTTTTGAGACCCAGTGTAACTAGACGAATGTTGAATAAAAATTTACCAACCGAAGTTAAAGTTAAATTCATTAATAATATGTTGGCAAGAACGAAAGAACATAATCTCGAACATCAAAATTACAGTGGAACTGAATTTTATAATGAAGATCAACAATCAGAACCATCAGAATTTGAAAGTGCAGTTTCACATACAAATGATCGGACTTTAATTGATACTAAATCGGAAGACGATACATTACCAATGGAGACATCAAGTCCATATCGTTTACCACCAGAACCTGTAAGAGTTTCTCCGTATCCTTCAAACTCAAGAATGGATGCTAAAGATACATTAACATCATTAATCAGAGGGATCCCTGGTTTAGTTAGTGAAAAAGGGAAAATCACAAATGAAGCTGGAATACCTTCAAATGCGAGTAATATAGATGAAATCATTACTTACTTACGAACGGTTGGTGCGAGAACTAAATTCCCAAATGGTGCAAAAAGAGTATTAACGATGATCAGATTAAAGTATCCAGGTGCAGTTAAACTAATTAAGAACGAAAAAGCAATTGAGTTTATAAATGACTTAAAATGGGAGGATCTAGTATCGAACAAGAATTAGAAAAAATATATTATGATCCTGAATCATCTGGATCATTTGGTGGTATTAAAAAATTATATGATACTGCGAGAATTAAAATTTCCAATTTAAAATTCAATGATGTTGAATCATGGTTAAAAAACCAAGAAACATATAGTTTATTCCGTGAAAGAAAAAAACCATTCCCAAGATTACCTATTCTGGTTGATAAAGTCGATGAGCAATGGCAAGCCGATATTATGGATATGAGTTGGCTTTCAAGAGCCAACGATCAATATAAATACTTATTAGTTGTTATTGATTGTCTAAGTAGATTTGCCTGGGCAATACCTTTAAAAAATAAATCTTCGGATACAGTTATTAACGCATTTAAAGAAATATTCAAATCGAGAAAACCAGAAAAATTACAAACTGATCAAGGAAAAGAATTTGTTAATCAATATTTAAAACAATATTTACAAAAACTTAATATTAATCATTTTACATCAACTGATGATTTAATTAAATGTGCGATTGTTGAGAGATTTAATCGTACATTAAGATCTCGAATTTATCGGTATTTACATTATAAAAACAAACACAAATATATTGATGTATTAAATAAAATAATCAATTCATATAATAATTCATATCATCGAACTATCAAAATGACACCTACTCAAGCATTGACTAAGCAATCATTAGCTGTTAGTAATGTTTTCCGAGGACAAAAGAAAAATAAAAAGAAACAAAAACCTTACCAAGTAGGAGATAGTGTTCGAATAACAAGAGCTAAAACTATTTTCGAGAAAGGTGCAACATCAACATGGAGTCGTGAAATCTATTATATAATTAAAGTCAAACATACACCTCAAGGATATGTTTATCGTCTACGCGATTATGATAATGAACCAGTTACATCGATTTTTTATCATGAAGAGATCTATCCTGTGGTTGAACCTGATTTATATAAGATTAATGAAGTTTTAAGAACTAGAATAAATCCACGTACTAAAAAGAAAGAATATTTTGTTTCATGGGTTGGATATCCTGATAAATTTAATTCCTGGGTTGATTCAATTGAAAATGTCGAATGAATTTGTTGTTGATGTTATTTCTAATGCCAGTATGGATATTTATAAAAACAATACATTATCTCAATTTACTAATCGATTACCTAAAAAACTTATTCTTGATGGTGAATGGTCGGTAGCAGTTCAAGAAATTATTTACCCTCTTGCACATAGAGGTAATAGAATGAATGTTAAATGGTCACTCAATTATAATGAGTCTTATTCTCAAAGATTTCCTATTCATCATACATATAATTTTGAGTACAGTGAAAGTGATAAAATCGATCGGATTATTGATAATTTTAATAAAGAAATGGAGAAAGCTTATCATTCTGAAAATCCAAGTATAAAAGTAGGAGGTATTAATAGACCTCCGAAACTTGAATTAATAAAAGTTAATGACGATGGGAAAGAAAAAGATAAAATACTAATTAAACTTGGACGTCATGAAAAACTTTTACAACCACTTTACCCGATGTTTAATGATCAATCGTTCTTTAGACTTCTTGGTTTTGATTGGTACGTGTTCAAAAAGAGAATTCCTGAAGCTAAGAAAAATGGTTCATTTGAAATAACTGCTCCTTATCAACCAGACACCGGACCTAAAGGTCATTTAGTGTTTATTTGTACTGATATTATACATGAACATTTAGTTGGTGATACTCATGCAAGAGTCTTGAGAGTTATACCTTTAAATAAAAATACAGGTGATACATTAGCTCACATTACATTTACAACACCATATTATTATCCAGTTAGAATGAATCAAATTGAGGAAATAAGTATAAGAATTGTCGATGAGAGTGGTGATAATATTAAATTCAAATCTGGACGTGTCTTTCTAAGTTTACATTTTAAACGAAAAGAAATTGTTTAAGAAAAGAATATTGAATAATTAAATTAAAAATGAATCGAAAAATATATTGTCCGTGTGATAGTGATTTCAGTCATCATTTCCAGCATCAAGCTGGATATGGTATATCTGATATTTCTGTCTTTAGAGGTCAACCATATCAGAGAGGATACGGAATTGGATCAGTTTTTGCACGTTATGGAATCCCAATATTAAAATTTCTAACTAAACATCTAGTGAGAACTGGTATGAATGTTGGTGCTGATTATCTTGCTGGAAGTGACTTTAAATCTTCATTTAAGGCTCACGGTAAACAGGGTTTAAGAAATGCAGCAAAACAAGGTTTGAGTAAATTAAGTGACTTAGTTGATCAAACTGGTAGTGGTATAAGAAAGAGAAAACGAAAAGTTAAAATAATCAAGAAAAAGAAACGTGATATATTCACATAATGGAGTACTTACATGAATCATCTATGCCTGCAAGCAAATCTGAATTACAAGTATTTTCAATCCCACCAACACAAACAGCAATTGAAAGTAGTTATGAAGTTGAGTACCGTCCTAATGCAAGTCTTGAATCTAGTAATTTTATGAAATTAATGTTCCAGCAAGTGAAGATTTTACAGATTTGTACAATGCTTCATATTCATCTTAGTGTTAAAACAGTTGCTGGTGCAGTACTTACGGAAGCAAATAAAGTTAAAGCTGTTACTAATTTTGGTAATTCGTTATTTGAACAAGTGGACTTATCTCTTGGCTCAGTTAATACTGTGCAAGCCAATAATACATACCATTACCAATCTTATTTTGAAGATTGTTTTTTCCGATTTCCCAACCCAATGGATTCCGGATTTCAAGTGTCTGAAACTAATTTACGATCATCTTTTGACTTGTATTTTCGTTTACATTCTCCATTATGTGAACAGGATAAACTTTTAGTTAACGGTGTTCCGTTAACATTTAGATTCACTAAAAGTCCTGATGGATTTTCATTAATCAAGTATGATGCAGCTCATACAGCTAAATATGAGATCAAATTTGAGAAATTTTCCTTACACATTAAACGTGTTAAATTATTCCCTGAAGCTCAAAAAAGTATAATTGCAGGTCTTGAAAAAGGCCCTGCAAAGTATTTCATAACAAGGAATGATACTAGAGTTTTCTCAATTCCTTCAGGTCAATCATCAGCTTCAATCGAAAATGTATATCACGGTGTTTTACCTCGTAGAATATTAATTGGTTTAGTTAAAGATGCTGCTCAAGAAGAAAGCATTTATCTCGATCCCTTTGAATTTAAACATTTCAATACCAATTTCATTTCACTCAACGTTGATGGGAATATGATTCCATCAATTCCGTACTCACCTAATTTCAGTTCTAATTATTATATGAGAGAATTTATTAATTTATACCGTTTCTTTGGACAAGATGAAGGTATCCCACAACTTAATATCACATATGATGAATATGGTAAATCATCTACTTTATTTGCATTTGATCTCTCACCTGATGGATCAATTGGTGCTGAGAATGGGACATTATCTCTGATTAAGAGAGGTAATATAAGACTTGACATTAAATTCAGTGATCGATTGAAACAATCACTTAAAGTTATCGTTTTTGCTCAATTCGATAATCTAATTACAATTGATAAAGACCGTAACGTAAATTTGGATTACTAAGAATGTTAACTACAAACGATATAATTGAATTACTTACTGATGTTCCCTGGTTTGCTGGTGTTTTCCCGATCGATCGATTACCAACAAATCTCGGTAAAGATAAAGCAATTATAATCAATTTAGATGAAAGTTATAAAGAGGGGAGTCATTGGGTCGCACTGTATCTCGATATGAATAAAATAGTCCATTATTTTGATTCATTCGGAAGAAAACCTCAAGGGTTAATACTTACATTTATTGAGAAAATATCTGATTATTATCTATTCAATCCTAATAAATATCAAGGTAACTTATCAGTTGCTTGTGGATTTTTCTGTCTTCTATTTGTAATTTCTGTTTATAATCTAAATGACTTTTACAAGTTATTTCGTGGTTGTGAACATATTAATAATGAGACAAAATTGTTTCATGTATTGAAAAATTATTTAATTTTTTGATAACTGTCAAATGTGAATTATGATTAACAATAAATTTTTTTTGATCAATGTTAATGTATTATTTTATTACAACTATAGTAAATTTTTTATGTTATAGTGACCATAAGGCACTGACTCAATTTTATTAAGATAAAATCTTTTATCTTCAAACGGTGTGATCATAAGTTTTGTTTGAGATACTACTTGGATATTATGATTAGTTGATTGGATTCTTGAAGCTGTTCCACTCTCAGTTGACTCATTCATCAAACAATTGTGGAAATCATCAAAAGTTATCTTATTCAGAGAGACTCGTGGGACTCCCTTTGCTCTCTTTTTGACACCTGATAATGTCTTTAGTGCATAAAGTTTTGGTTTAATCCCGATAAACTCTAAGATTTCATCACCAGCAACCTCATTCTTAACAAACCCAATTTTTTTCTTATTCTCGTTGGAAAAAAGATTATGTGATTGTGGATAATTGGAGAAATCCATAAGGTGAGATAAAATTTGAAGATCATGATTTATATTATCAGTTTTGAGATGGTAGATCAAACTATCTGTGTCAGTATATAATAATGACATATTATCTCCAAAATGTGGTTTAAATTGTCCGTAATGTAGTTTGAACATTTTGAGTTTTGCCAATTCAAGGACAGTAAATCCAACGGCAATTGGTTTATCCATCTTTACTGCACTATTTTTCATTTGAAAAATAACTTTATCTTCATCCAGAATTATGAACTTTTTGACGAGATTCTTCCTCATCATCCTCTCTGCTTCAATATCTTTTAGTGCAATTTCCACTTTAAGATGTTTCCGTTTATCCTCAATCGTCTTACCATAGATGGAATTTACAAGCAACTTCCAAAAGTCTTTTTCAAAGTCACTCGTTGCTCTTTGACGATTTAAAGTACAGAAATTGACATATTGTGCTAACCAGGGTGATTGATTGAATTTAATCACTCGGTGAACTTTGGTGATTTTGATTCCAAGCTCAACGTAATACTTTAGGATTGAGTAGTGAACAACATATTTGATTTTTTGCAAGAAAGTAGTTACAAGTTTAGTGGAGGAAACCAACTTGATTCCACGATTCCTCAATTCTGTGTGTAGCTCTTGTTGATATGAGCTATACATTGTTGAATCAACTTTTCTTTTCTCTGGTATTAGAGGAAAATCTGAATGTGAGTCATGGAGGTCAGATGGATATTCTAAATCCACTTCAAGTATGTAACCAACACTTGATACATCTGAAGTGTTCAAAATGTCCTCTAATAGTATATCACACCATTCATATCCATCAACAGGTAAGTATTGTGACATAGCATAACCATAAAGGTTATTGACGTCCAAGTATAGAATTTTACTATTAGGTTCTTTTGGATTGTAATCTGGTAGTTCAGGGTCGTTTGCCTTAGCATATCGTTTACTGACCATTGTCAAACCACCTCTTATTCCCGATTCTATCATCAACAACATATCAACATCAGAAAAAATCTGAAGTTCGATAGCTGTTGTCTTTAGAGCTGCAGCCCAAGTCAAACCAGGTGAAGAGAAATGGTGAAGTGGATCAATACCAAAACTTGTAAGTGCCATTTTTCTAAAGTTCTCAAAAACTGCTGTTAATAGAACAACATCAGTCTTTAGATAAACGTCGTGAAGATCCTTCAATGTTACACAACCAAAATGAGACCAAACTTCTCTGACATGATTATATATCTCATCACAAATCGGTGATTCCATGAGACTTGAATAAAATTGATCTCGACTTGGCAAAGAAGTTTCAGTGAATCTATCAAATGAGTCCAGGTACTCGTAAGGTAAGCATCCTTTCTTCATTAAAAGGGATAAATCACCCATGAATAGTTGACTGAGATAAAATACTTTATCATCAGTTGATAAATTGGCTGACAGAGCATCCAAACTTGCTGGAAGAAAAGCAAAGCTATCCATGAACTTGAAATTATCGATTATGAACCCAATAAACTTTTCAGTGGAATGAGCGATGATTTGAGGTTTATTTGTAAACATTGATGAACTCAGAGCTTTGATTATAATGTGACCGTCGAAATTTTTCAGATTATGAAATACAACCGGAATCTGAGTAGGTACTTGATACTCCAAATTACAGAGTTGATGAGCAGCGCCTCGAAATTTACCGGTGAGATGATCATGGTCACGAACACTAGTATTTGTCCCTAGAGGTTTTGAACAAATATGACAGACAGTTGCTTCTTTGAACTGTTTTTCTTCAGAAGAAGTTAAAGACAAAGGCTTGATATTTGTAGAAATATGTTGACGTATAAATGACTCTAGACTTATGAGCTTTTCTAAGAATTTAACTCCTGCATTTTCACCGAGATAAAAGTCTTTACTAATAATTTCACCATTCCAGTCAACTACTACAAGTCCGTAGCTACAAGGTACCAAATCACTGACGGTATTATTTTCGGAAGTATTTTTAACATTCAATGTTTCAAAGTCTGCATAAACACAGACAGGAAACTGTACCTCTTTACGGAATTGATTCCTTTTGAGTGTTGAATTACCAACATCCGGTAAGATGAGTCTTTGAGCAGTAACTTTTTGGCATTCATTTAAATGAAATGCTTGCTTTTCACTCGAGCTGAATGAACAAAGACATCTTTTACAAAAAAATCTAGCTCTTTTCTCAGTGTGGGAGACTAATCGGTTGAAATTTGAGATTGTATAATAATGTTGATTCATTAAAAATAAGTCAACATGTTTTTCCTTTTCCTGATCACAGATTTGGAGTGGTACAACAGCTTTGCTATCTGGATAACAGGTATAGACATTGATTGACAGATTATTTTTTCTTGAGAATCTATCAATTTTATCTATAGAAACAATCCCACGAACGTCAGAGAAGTCATAATTTTCAACATACTGTGTGTAGTTACTCGTTCTCCCACAATGTCCATTTGACTTATGGAGACCAATTAGTACCGCAAACATGAAACAATCAGTATCAGTTTGAGGTGAGATCAAACATTTCTTGTTCCTAATGAATAATGGAATCTGGTTGTCATTACAACCACCACGAAAAGGTTTGAATTTACCAGCAGCTAAATCAATAGACAAGATTTTGTTGACAGTCCATCCAGATCCACGCTGAGTAAATTGATCGATACGGTCATATATGAACTCATATGAATCGTTAGTCAACGAATCTTTGTTCGAACCAGCTAAACAAGGGGTAAGATCAGATTCAAACCAGCCCTTATCAGTCTTTTCAGTGGTTTCATTTTTGAACTGGACAATTATACCGATACTGAACTTAATTGCTCCAAATTCGTCAATTAAAGTGTTGATTAGTGACCTGATCTCTTCAAATTTAGTCGTCATCACTTCATTTATATCCGGTGAATCAATATTTGTGAACGATATTGAACTAAATATCTCCTGAATGCAAAATTTATGAGTACGAATGAGCCAAACCTGTCTGGTGCATTTTCAGGGTGGTCAAAAGTTATGGATAAGCCACACACTTTCAAGTGGTTATCTAAATATTTCGGTCTTGTATAAGTCTTTCCGCATTTATCGCACGATAAAGAATTACCAGTACCGATTTGATAATTTGTTTGAGCTCTTGATGTCGATGGTTCTGGTTCTGGTTCTGGTTCTGGTTCTGGTTCTGGTTCTGGTTCTGGTTCTGGTTCTGGTTCTGGTTCTGGTTCTGGTTCTGGTTCTGGTTCTGGTTCTGGTTCTGGTTCTGGTTCTGGTTCTGGTTCTGGTTCTGGTTCTGGTTCTGGTTCTGGTTCTGGTTCTGGTTCTGGTTCTGGTTCTGGTTCTGGTTCTGGTTCTGGTTCTGGTTCTGGTTCTGGTTCTGGTTCTGGTTCTGGTTCTGGTGAAAAGTGAATAGGTGAGGTACCTTGATCAACATTACCGATTCTTGGAGCAAATTGGATGACAGACGGTCTGATAACAGACAAATCCATTGGTTGCTCATCTTCTTCATCAGAAGATAAATCTATAGTTGATTGTGAAGATAGTATAATCTCTTCTGACTCAACTCTAATTGGTGGTTCAGGAAAAAGTTCTGGTTGCTGTGGATCGATTTGTTCAATAGTTGGAACCATATTTCTCAAGGCTTCAGCACAAAGAGAACAGTCACTACAATTTGAACATGAAGAGCAGGAACTTGATGATGATGATTGTGTTGGTTCCAATCTAGGTCTTTTACTTGGTGGACCTTCCATGAAATCCATCATTTTACATGGATTGAAACGACAATCACATTGATGGACTAAATATGTTGGTAAGACATCATATTGTCTTTGACAACAGGGGCAAAGTATCATCTATATATAAATAAAATATTAGGTTAATACAAATGAATGAAAAAAAGAATGAAGAATGAAAAGAAGATCTCTTTTGTGAAATGTTTATGGTTGTTTAATTGTGTTTTGCTAATCTATGGAAATATTCTGATTGATTCTTAAATTTGTTATATTCTTTTTCAGCTTCTAAGTGTTTTGTGAAATATGGTCCATTCATCTGTTCATTGTTTTTAATTGATTCTCGTAACCACCAATCCGACTTTAGTTTTTCTTTTTTGCTTTTTTCCAGAGAACGGTTACCACAGTGGAGATAATGAATAAGTTTACCATTATCAGAATCAGGTCTTGAACGTATATCGGCTATTCTTCTCCTTCGTCTAATCTTAGCTCTTTGATTGGCTGTTAAAGAGATTGGTCGATAACCAGAAGGAAGGGGTAGATCCATTGGTTCTAACGGATTATTCCTCCTTGTACGAGGATCAACAAGAGCACAAACACTTTCGAGGGGAATAATAATCATTGTCCTAAAGAATAATCTTAACACTAGAGATCTACTTTTCATATACTAGTCAACAAACTTACCTCAATATAATGATTTTAATTGATGGTGAACAAAAGTAAGAAATAATACCACGAGGTGGCGTTGATGAGTGAGTTCACAAAAAATTTACTAGAGGGCGTTGATGTTGAAAAGTTTAATAACTATCCGTCAGGTGGCACTGGTATCACGATTGAATTGTCAGTTGAGATTGAGACTCAGACGAAGTAAGGTGAAACAATGTATATAAGATTTACCTTAGACGTTCATCACTAGTTACTATCAGGGCGAAGTTGCCAAACATCAAGCATAGGACTCACTGAGGAAAATCATTGATAGTCCTCTCCTTATATACCCCAAGTGTCAAAACAAAAGTTACGTCTGAGAACATGCGTATTCAAGTTACATGAACTGCATGATACTCTGAATGAACTTTGCATGATCATCATGAAGAGATGAGTTTTCTGAACATTTATTTGTGAACAAAATAAAAAAATTATCATCCGTTTGGAAGATAAATGATGATAAATGAAAATCACAGAAGTGCTGCCATCTTCCGGTAAGAAAATAAACCTTGTGAACTGGTGTCGCCATCTCTTGAGTGAATCAAAATTTAGGCGCGCATTTCAAATCGTTAAAAAAATCTCAATATTGTAATTGAAGTTTTTTCAATTAACTCAAAATACCGCATACACGATCCTAATTGTGGTTAATTGGGACTTATCAGCACTTAATTGTAGTTGATTGGGCTTAATTGTGGTTAATTGTGAGTTATCAGCACTTAATTGTAGTTAATTGGGCTTAATTGTGGTTAATTATGAGTTATCAGCACTTAATTGTAGTTAATTGGGCTTAATTGTGGTTAATTGTGAGTTATCAGCACTTAATTGTAGTTGATTGGGCTTAATTGTGGTTAATTGTGAGTTATCAGCACTTAATTGTAGTTAATTGGGCTTAATTGTGGTTAATTATGAGTTATCAGCACTTAATTGTAGTTAATTGGGCTTAATTGTGGTTAGTTGTGAGTTATCAGCACTTAATTGTAGTTAATTGGGCTTAATTGTGGTTAATTGTGAGTTATCAGCACTTAATTGTAGTTAATTGGGCTTAATTGTGGTTAATTGTGAGTTATCAGCACTTAATTGTAGTTAATTGGGCTTAATTGTGGTTAATTGTTATCTATTAAAACTTAATTGTAAGTATATCAGACTTATCCAACGTTAATCATTATCATCCTATTCAAATATACCGCATTTAGAATATTAGTTCATATAGTCAAATATAGATGGCGACACATTTTTACCATATGTTTGTTCTCCGTAGAACATTTTGTTTACATTGAAGTTAATTCTTACCATAATTAATTCTTATTAATTGCGCAAAGTTATCACTCAATTATAATGATTAGTTCATCATCATCATCATCTCCACCACCACCACCACCACCATCATCATCATCATCATCATCATCAACTTTACCATCTGAATCTGATGAGGAGGAATTCATGAACTATCTAAGGTAGGTTAATAGTATCACAACCTCAATCAACTAATTTTATTTATCATCTCTTTTCAGAGATTTTCTCAATCAAAGAGGTCCTCTCAATCATAAGATCGATTTAATATTTTCGTTAATTGAGAGGGTCCCAAGTCTGACTGAGAGAAAGAAGTATATTGTGCGAAGGATTTGCAAGTATGCTCTCAATCGTTTAATCACAGCAAGAGCAACTACAATAACCAGGAATCTCAATTCCAAGATTGATGAATTGGTTGATCAATGTAAAGCCATTGATGAGCAGTTCAATGCTGAGGCGAAGAGGAACATTCAGTTGTTCCAAGAAAATTGGCTTTTAAAAACATCTTTACAAATTTCAGAGGGTGAAGATGGATGAAATCTCATTTATTGATTGGATTTTCAGGAAAATGGGCTCTGAATTAGGCATCAAACAACAATGGTTCCATCAGGATGGTCGAGGCCGAGGCCTTTAAATCATTATTTAGATACACTAGAAATTATCATTTCATTAAAAAAAAGTCATTCATTCAATTATATATACAGGTATTTACATTTACTTTCAAATTTCGCGCCAAAAAAAATCACCAAAAAATTTGGTCCAGAGTGGACACTTTGGCCCAGAAAGTTTGGTCCAGAATGGACGCTTTGGTCCAGAGTGGAAGCTTCGGCCTAGAGTGGATGCTTGGCCCAGAGATGGTCTTTAGTTAACTACTACTTTGAACACGATTTGCTCGAGAATCAACGATCAGATCACAATGAAGTTTTTAACAAACGAGTTCTTTCTTATGCCCCAACAAAACCCTAAAGTTTCAATTCTTAACTCAAAAGTCCATTTTCTCAACGTATTGACCATTCTTACTATTGACTTGTGTCTCCACCTGGTTGACGTGGTGTGAAATTATAATGTTCAGATGAAAACAATTCCGATTTTCATCATTTGGATGATTATGGATTATCCAAAGTAAGTTGGATCAATTTTATTCATTATCAATAAATATCTATGTAATAATGCCTTAGGGTGTGTCTAAAATAACTTGCAAATCAATTGCAATTATTAGACAGAAAATAAGATTGAAAAATTTTATCATTATAATTATTGGAAATTTCAATAGGTTCAATTTCAATTGGACATTCAAAACTCATATGGACAAAATAATGATACAATTTGTTTATCTACCGGTGGTCAGTGAGGTTGGCCCATATGTATTTAATATAAACCGACCATCAATTTTATTTATTAGTGATTTAATTGATGCGAGTGGTCAATAACACAATGGTTACATGAATATCGTGTCAAACATGGTCAAGTTCTGAGAAGTATTATTATCCAAGAGAGAGAAGAGAAAACTTTGATTAAAAATAAAATTCTACGAGCATTAATTTGATTGTCACTTTACCCTTAAACACCATTGGGAAAATTCATCAAAGGTGATTACCCCATCATGATTTGAATCCATTTGCTGGATAAAATTTCAAATGAAAATGAAAATAAATTCAATTGTATTAATATAAGGAATCAAACAAAGTTAATTTCGAACATACAAAAAAAATTTTATCAACGTGTACTTGGACTGTTGATGCGCTGACCAATGGTTTCGTAAAATCTCCGAGCATCAAGTAAACCGCTCGAACGATCGTTAAAAGCTCTTGCTTTGTTACGAATCCATCGCTATTAATATCGTACAAATTGAATATCCAACGAAGTTTTTCCGATGTAGATCCTCGAGATAAACTTGATAACATACAAATAAAATCCTAAGGAAATAAATCAACTAAGTTAATTCAGTTAAAATTACAAATTATACTTGTAAATAGGAGTAAACAATCAAATGGACGAAATTTTTCTCAATTTTCTGTTAATTATCAGCATTTAATGGGAAGCGGAAATTAGTTTTGAAATTCATTCCAGGATCAGCTCGATTGTACTTTTAAGATATCAAGGTTGTTTAACTTGTGTTCACATATTATCGAAATAGTACAATCATAATTGCGGTCGTATTCAATGATTGAAAATAGATGAAATTTAGTTTGAAAAGTCTAAAATTTGACATTGGGTTGATTTTAGGTTATTGAAATTAAATGGCAATTAAACCAATTATTAACGAACGGGAGTTATTGCTCAAATAGCCCACGAATGTTACAAACAAATAGCATGAAAGTCGCTGCAATTTCCAACATGAACTGTAATCAAAGCATTACAATTAGTTGTTATTGATCAAAATCAATGTTAATATAGACAATGTAATTAAAAGACTCACAATTATGAAAAAACTTTGCGTAATTGTTGCTAAATCACCAACTTTAATCCCATTATATGGTCCAAGAGACCGATCCATTATTTCAAGTATCTAACAGAAAATGATATTTATTGTCAATTGTTGTAACAATAAACTCTATCCTCAAAAATTTACCTTTAATCTGATATTAATTGGTAATCTGGTTTCACAGCAGATTGAATGGAATCGTCTGTGTAATGTTTCAAGCTGAATGAATTGTTAAAATTGATTAGAGTAAATTAATAAGAATAAAGCTCAATCAATCTAAATGATAAAAATTGTAATAAAGTTTCAACCTTCAATAGATGCTGATCATCGTGAGGATAAAACATTCAATTTCAATTATATCTCATTCTAACTATCGATTGTCGATTAAAGCAAAATTGAAACTTCAATTTATTTCGACAATAAAATATAACAATGTAGTTAATAGATATGAGATTGATTTTTCAAATTGAATTACGCTTTCAATTAATCACTTTCAATAAACTTCAAGTTGAAAAATCGAAAAGTGAAAATTTTCTCATTGGCTTTATACTAAAATGGACATTGGTCAAACCTTTGTCATGAAATCACCTACAAAGTAGCAACCAATAGCAGAAAGGGTTAGCACTAGTAAGCCTAATACTGCATACATGTTGGCGACTAATCGGGAATGAGCAACGATGATTACGCCCAAGAAGATGAACAGATCAGCCATAAAAGCGACCACCGTAAAATAATATAAGACCAAATATCGCAGTCGCTTAAAGTCAAATTCATAGATATTGAAGCGATGAGTCCAATTGCCGATAAGATTCGTAGCCCAATTGACAATTATCTCATAATTCGGCGTAAACTGAGCACATTTTAGATCGTGATTAGCGATAATTTCAATATCTCTGTGAATAGTTGATAGAAATGATTCCGAAGAACAAGTTTGTGAAACTTTTGATCTTTTAACTCGCCGGAACATTGTTCCATCAGTTTTATCTCTACTCTTGAGCTCTCGATACTCCTTGAAGTCGTCATTAGCTATGTAAGTATCGTTATGAGGGCCAATTGATAGATTAGACTCGTTAGGAATGGATTTTGATTGCTCAACAACTGACTGTATACGATAGTAGTGGATAGCACAAATGAGAAACATGTAACCAGAGGTTGTTAACATCTCATTCGCAAGGAAAACAACTGACCAAGTGTGAGTAAAAGACCAGAGAGTACCATAAATCGCCAGAGATGATATTTGATATGTGTAAGGATTGGTAAAAAAGGGTATATTGTACAAGATCGCTATAAATGGAACCATACAGGTAATTATACGATTATAAAGGTTGAGTAAAAAGTGGACAGTCAACTGGAACTGTTTAGTCTGAGCTGTGGTCATTTTAAGATGTGAAGAGTTGAAGCCATGAGTACGAACATAGTCATAATCTGCAAGAACAGTACAATGATTTTGAGCTTCGCTACGTAAGAAAGCTTCACGAACGAGCATTGACACCGTTATTGAGAAAAGATTCAACATACATATTGATATACGATCTTTTGACCGGAAAACATTATCCCCAAGATAGATGAGAGTAGCTTCGTCCTTGATGAATATCAAACTAACGAAGCGAACAAAGTTTACGGCCGATGCCAGCCGAATACTCCAATTCTTAAGGTCAAATGGCAAGTTTGCATGAAGACTTGACGTTGAAAGTGTCACATCCTTTGAGTTACTATATTGATCTTTACCTTGACCATACTGACGGAATCCGTGCAACAAGGTACGAAAGAAAAGAGCATACTTCTCGTAGCGATTGATGGCCTCTTGAGTCGCTTCAACTGGAGCATCTATTTTGGGAACACCAAGTATCTGGTGGATGAAGATTCGCAATAGAAATCCAAAAAATTTGACCGAATCGCATTGATTAATCATTTTCAATTTCGTTAAACAATTCGTACAAAACCAATGAGCTTTTCAAAAGGCTTATATTAATAATCATAAATCATCAAAACACAATTGAGAGCTAATTGTCATCCATTTGGATGGTAGTTGATAACTGAAGAAAAAGTTTCAAGTTTGGTTGAATTATCATGTTTATTACGCTGAGAAAAAAGTTAGTCTATTGTTTCATTCATTTAATATTGTTAATTGTTAGTTTGCTTATTGTGATTAATATTTTGTTTCAATTCGCCAAAAAAAACGAGAAAAAAAGTTCACAACATGATATAAAGTCACAGAGAATTTAAAGAAAGAAAAAAAAGAAAAAGTTCTGAAAGCAAAGGAACCATCCCCATGAAAATGAAGATCAAATTTTAACTGATTTTTTTCTTCTTCTTATGAACATTAACAAGAAGAGTAATTATCGCAGAATCGTGATCAACCATGATAATCATCATGTTTCCACCATCATGCAACCGTATTAAATATTATAATCATCAAATGGTTATCAGGATTGATCTTGAAATTTACGATTTTCTATCTGTAATGATTAGTTAATCAACAATTAATGATAATTTCTGCACTTCATATGTAGGTTACTTCAATTGAGAATATTTATCGATAGATTCCTTATTAAATTATCTCACTTTAAATTCAATCAATTTTTTAATCATTATCATTTCTAATCATTGTGACTCAAAGTAATCTTGATGATCAATGTTAATTTTTGTTTGTCTTTATAATGTACTTCCTATCACTTATCATGTTGATAACTGATAATTAATCAGAATCGTAGCATTCAAGTTGAGAAATTCAATACTGATCACCATAATCAATTTATTTCGACCCATAAGACTTTGACATGTAATTGATTGACTAATTGATTAATTAGAACCTTGATTTATGTGAACTGTGCTCTAGAAACAATTAACCAATAGGCTAATCTTAATATAAATAATAGTAACTGTCAGATTAAATTCTGATTATTATGATTCATTATTGTTCTTACCAGGAATCTTTAGAAAGAGTTAATCGACGAATGATGTTCATTACAAGTTTTGCGAACTTTTTTTCATTACTTGCTCGATTGAGAAAAAAAAGTTCCTTTTCTATTCCTCTGAGAAATTCATGATATTAGCATGGAAAGCATAATAATCATGAGTTATCATCATTTTTTTTGTTAACATTGTACTTCAAACTGAAAGTTTCAGTTTAGTTTGATTCTGTTACATTAAACTAACACTAATGTGTAATTATTACATTGTTATTATGAAGAATCTCATGGAAAGATGAATGAAAATGATAAGACAAAATTTTCCCATGAAATTTTCTGAGTAAAATGTAATGACAATGAAAGTCATCATGAAACTAACGATTGAATCCTTTCATTAATATTATCATGATAATTATCAGTAACAGATCAGGCAAGTTGTTTGTACAAAAACTTATCAAGAAAAAATTATTTCCTTCCATGATCATGATGTATGGATGTTAACTAATCATGAACATGATAAGAGGAAATGAAAAAAGTACAGAGTCTGCTTAACAACCTCAGGGTGATTTTCCTTTAATTCAGAACCTTTTCTTTACATAGAATTCATTTAAGAGCCACTTATGAATATGGAATCGATATACTGACTTGTCAATTCTCCTGATTTATTCACTACTTCTTTAATAGGAATATATTTAACTAATCGTTGGAAATGAGATGAATTCTCTACGCAAGAACTTATCTTATTTATTTTTAGAAGAAAAAAAAAGATTCGTTCATAACTTTTGTTAGTCTGGTTGATTATTTCACTCCAATAGGTTATCAAGGATCAGACCAATCCCTTATAACCATTATGATAATAATTGTTCATGATTGTTACTCGTAGACTCAACTTATAGATTAATCTGATACAGAATCGGTTCAAAAACGTTTCCAACCAATCGATTACCAACAAAGTAGAAATACAAGAATTCATATTTTAATTCTATGACTAATAATCAAAAAAAAAGAAAATACGAAATCAATATTATCAGTTTTCTAAAGTGTTATAGAATTTTCGTTTTAGTTTAATAAGTTGAGTATTATTGAATTGAAAGAAAAGTTGACTATGGAATTGTTCATATTATCTTAATAGAACTCAATAACTTTCTCGTGTACTTTCTGCAAGTAGCCTTTAGAAGGTTTCGAAGTTGAGAAAACTTCGTGAGATTATGAACCTTTTTCTCATGAAATGGATTACATGGAATAGCCATTTTCATATAAGGTTCGATCTCGTCATTTTTTTTAAAGGTTAAAAGGAATATCATCTCAATGTTAGAGTGTTGGTCAAGCATTGGAACATTTATCATTCTCAAGGGATTGGGGCTGTGAACAATCTTGAATAGCTCGAAGTTGAAAAAGTACAATCGAACCATAAACTTTCGTCTTCTAATAATTTTCTTTTTCTGCAATAAACTGCACGTTATTTTCCACTTAAGTTGTCAAATGAATTGTCTAACACATTTAATTGTTTACACTTTAGCTTAGGATTCTATTAGTTGGTTTAAGAATTGATGTAATGTTTTATCATAATAGTTAATAATCTTACCTCGAAATTAAGTCTTCCTTTATTTCCGGCTGCATTTTGAAAGGTTTTGAACACATAGTGGGCATATATTGATGAATCTTGATTTATAATTAAGAAAAATTGATGATAATTAGTGGAAACAAGATTGTAATTAACAGATTGATGATGATTAAAGGATATCAAGTGAAAAAGAAAGGAAATTAAAGATTCAAGATCAACCCTGAGATGAGACTGATTAGTTTCATCTTTTTAAATACACAAAATCTTTTGATTACCCTTATATTTACATGTTAGGTTAGAAATTAACTGTAATTAACTAGACTTATTTTAGAAAAGTTAATCAAGATTGATTAGTGTTAATTGAAGGGGAAGGTGACGACAAAAAGTTTCAACTTAGTGAATCGTAACATTTACCATAGACTTTCAAGGTTTTCGATCAATTTCCTTCAACCCAACAATCTAATATTTATCATGAACGTGAACTTTCATGATGAACATAATGGTCACTTCTTGTTGAATTGATTTCCGTCATAAATTGAATTCAACGGAAAAACTTGGATACTTTATGTTACGAGTTTACTTTCCCATGTAATCATGATGAAATAAAAAGTTTTTTCTTGAAATAAAGAGCTTTAAATTCATGTGATAAAATAACTAAATCAATTTTCGATAAAAAGTTATTAACCAATTCGGTTAAAGGGCATCAAATAAATTAACTTTGGTTACTATTAAAGTTAATCATTCTGTTTGCCTAAAAGTGGTTGGAAAAACAATCAATATGGAAATTAAAACTTAGCTCTAATCAAATGGATCAAATCGATAAGATAAATCATTTTGGTAATGATTAACTTGATTGCTCTCAGTTTAACGATCACAATCAATTTGATTCCAAGTTAACATGTTACAATTACTTATTTTTCAAGAGTAAAAGTTAATTAAATGCTAATCATTCCTGATAAACTAAAAATCTGATTTAATCAAGTTAAATGCTTATTGAATTACAATAACATTACAGGTTACATGATGGTTTGTATCTTGATTACTATTATTTACATAGAATTGAATATATTAATAAATCTGAAACTATTTGAAAAGTTTCTGATTTCTCAAGTTGAAACTTTTTCTACAGCAAATAATCAATTATCTCTTGATGATGATGGTGATAATGTTGATTACTATTAGGAGTTTATGAGCTAAATTCTTGCACTAACCAATTCTTATGCACCAATAATTGGATTCCATTATCATTCGTGATGATGATGAGCATCATGAATATAAATGGTTGTGAAGATGATTATTATCTCCATCATGAATGGGAAAGATAAAAGATGATGAGGAAAAGAGAACCTTAAAGATGATGACAAGAAAATAGGAGAAATTCGTGAGAAAGCGAGGAAAAGAAAAGGAAAAAAAGTTCTAACGAAATGATTTGAATAACAAGATGCGTTCGGAATCCTATTCTACTGGTCCTATGAATAAAACATAGACAAAAACATGGACAATGATATTCTAGTTTATCATGAATACCCTGAGATACGAAATGATTACTCAACATCTATTGAATTATACACTCGACTGAATTAATGATGAAATGATTATTTCCGCTTCTTTTACATAAACTCAATACTCAGACTTACGTCATGATGATATGAATCATGAAAAAAAAAAATGAACTTAAGCTTCAGTATCAATGTAACGTAATGGATTTGAAATTGTATCACAATTTTAGACTGACCATTACCTTGACCTGAGAGACATGTAAATGTTTAGTTATCCCTTGAGCTGTTTCAGAATTCATGGTTCTAAATAAGATTGTCATGTAGGTGGATACAAAAATATTGATTGCTCAGGAATCGGTAAAAATGATGACTCAACTATTGATTAATTGGCTCAATATCGTTCTGATGAAATAATTGACTATCATGAGCTAAATAGCATATAAATTATGGAGTAAAGTTTTTTGTTTGCTTATAATTTTCATGAGGTTTGCTCATTTCTCATGAATTATCTCTTGAATCTTGATCATGATGAGATTGTAAGTCTAATGATTCTGAGGTGAAATCTTCTTGTTATGTGCATTAGAAAAGAAATTCATCCAAAAAGATAAAGAAATAATCAAACTTGACCAATGGTAAAAAAAAGATGAGAGAGAAAATAATTCTACCACAAATTCCAAGGGATCATGGTGATGATGAAGTGGAATTGAAGATGATAAAGTTCATACTCACCTCCTTGAGGAAAATAGTGAGCAAATATTGCTTTAAACGCTTCTTCAGTTACCAATCCTGAAGGACATTCCTGTGATATCATGATTATATTAGATTAGAGTAAGAACTTTTTTCTCTGTCATTGAGAAGATGATGTTCAGTTTTCATGATGATAAATATTCTTCTTGGTTATGATAACAATCAACTAGAAAATAATAATAATCATGATGAGAAATAATGATTACGAAGGTGAAGGAAGTTAAAGTTGACACAGATATTATTGGTTTCGAGCAAAAATAAACATGAAGATCCTGATTTCTGGGAAGAAAAAAACTGAATTCATTCCGATTGGGATTACAATTTCATTCTTATCTGATTGTTAGTTTCAACATCCAATTCTGACATTTGATTTCTGTTATTGCTGATTGTTGTTATATTCACTTGGTTGTATCATCATGATTACTACTGTCATCGTGTTTTCCATGAAGATGTGGGAATCATGATTAAGATTGAATTTGACATCAACTGTTATTAACAATAAGTTTATCATCTTAATCGTATTTACAATTGAATCAGAATTGAAAAGTTTATTTTAATTTGATTACGGCTCAGTTGATTTAAGATCAATCTTTCTGATAACTATTATATAAGTTCAGGATTGTTAACCATTTTGAAATGGTATTAATTGTTTGAATTAATTCAATTCAATGGACTAGATTTATTCTCATATTATTTAACAATTTCCTCTTAAATGAATCTCAAATTTGTCATAAGAACTTTTCTTTTTACTTTTTTTTCCTTTGAAATTCTGCCAAAGTTTCGCTGACTTCAATTTTCTGGTTAAATTGATTATTCAGTTGATTAGTTATACACTTTTTTAGTTCGATTAACAATTAATCGCAGTTAAACTATGGAAACTATTAACAGTTCACTGTTCTATCATGAATATTACATCATCTTCTCATTGATTGCAATTCGATTATTCAAATTTCTTTTATTCTGAAAAAGTTCTTACCTGTTTAAATCCTTGATACAATTTACGAATTTCTTGTTTATTGAATTTAGTTACTTTACACAATTTATTTAATCGTCCAGGTTTACATCTCACATATAAATCAGATTCCTCCAGATCAGAATCTGGACAATTAAGAGAAATGGTTGGCAACAATTAGAAATTAGAGAGTAGAAAAGGTTTGGAATGAAGCAAGAAAAGGGAAAAATTTTGTTATTAGAACTTTTTCATTTCGAAGAGAACATTTTTCTTGTTCATCGAAAATTAAATTTATCGGTGATAAAGTTTATTAGTTAATTGTTATTAACCTGAAAGTAAATCTTCTGGAAAACAAGCTCGGAAAATTAGGTTACCAATGAATAATAAAAATAGAGCAGCAAAGAAGTAAACAAATGGAGACATTATATATAAAAATTGAGTTAATTGTTTGGATTTAATTTGTAATCAAGATGATTACAAATCATCTATGAGCCACTTCCAGATCATAATTATATTAATTGTAACAATTAAAGGTGAAAACATGAAAGGTAAGCAAAGTAACACTTAGCCAATAACATGGTAACTTGTTGAGTGTAGCTTGTTGATTGTAACATGTTGAGAGGCACAAATAATTAAATTTTTAATCCACAATTAACTATCAATTGCTAATACTAATCACAATTAAGACACGGAAGTGACAATCATTTAATTTAACGAATACAAATTAACTAATGTTACTTTGTTTTCTGGTTTTTGGTTAAACGTTTCCTCTTGGTAAATGTTTAAATATTCACAATATAATAATAATAATTATGTTACCATAGAATTGATTACAAAATGATTAACTGATTGTTACTTAATTTGTTTACGTATATTTATCATGCTGATAAATTGCATGGGAATATGTGAATAGGCAGAAAAAAGTGATTGGTGTTTGTTTTTGTTTTTCTTACTCTTTTACATCGGGAATCGATTCGTAAATTTTGACAGAAAGAGGAAGAGAAGGAGGATGATGATGATGATGATGATGATGATAAGAGAGAGAGAGAGAGGGTAAAACATAATAGACAGAGAGAAGATTAAAAATAGACAGAGAAAATGTAATATTTATGCTGAGAGAATGAGGTAGAAGAAAAAAAAAGAAAAGTCTTTTTCTGTTCAATGTTTCCATAGAAATGGAAACCAAACCGGAGAAATGATTAAACAAATAACTTTTATCAACATTACCTTATAATCAACTGATTGTTGATCAACTGGTTAATTGTTTAAACTTAATTGTGCTCGTATATTGAAAATAATCTTTGGTGTTTAAACGTTCAAACATTGGAAACGTTTTATTTGTTTTCTTTTATATTAACTCATTTGATTGATTTTTGATTAGCAGTAAATTTGGTTAATGTTCAACGATTAGAATCAATTGATTGGCTTATTGGTTAATAGTTTCCAAATAAATTGATCTACATATCAAATTTTACTTTCACTATTATTGAATAGCTTGGGTACGATCAATGAATTGATAGTTTCCAGGTAGAGAAAAAAAAATCCAATAACAATCACCATGATGATTCTATGGTGTATCATTAACCAGGAGAGATGAAGATGATTAAGTTGATTGTGTGATAGTTAATCATTAACTTATAATGTCAATGAATTGTTTTTTTTATTGTTTACAAGTTTGTTTATAATACTCATCGTCATAGAAAAAGTTTCATAAGACTCAGTTGATTTCATGATATTCTTGGAGTAACAAATTTTTCCCAATTTAATATAATTGAAATACTTACTTTCAGTTGGACGTTTAGTTTTATCACCAAAAATTGGCATCTCTTTGTTGGGTGTTAATTAACTAATGAGTTGATTAAGGTGATTACGATCCACACAATCTATTTACAAACACGCAAGTTGATTAGTTGATTGTATTATTGTTTGGAGAAAAAAAATCAATTTAGTTTGCAATTGGAGGAAACAATAAGTTTCCCCACCAAATTGTTTCCTGATTGCAATTTAAATTGTCTAATTGATGATTGGCAAGTTGGTTACACTTTCGGACACTTTTTGTTTCTCTATTAGTTTTTCAATAGAAAATCAAACTTAACATGATAAATGTTTCTCCAAATAAATTATTGGTAATTTTGTTTCTCATCTTCTCATGTGAACTTATCATCTTCATTTTTCTCTATCTTAGTAAACTTTTCTCTCGATCATCTTTGGTTGTTCACTTTTCTGCAGACCAACAGAATTTTTCTCCTTCTCACTCATCTTGCTCTTCCTTTTCATCTTTCAGCTACTATATGAATTCTGAGATGAATCAGGAGAATGAGTTTCGTTTCTTTCTCTCATGGAGAAAAATCTACATGAGTTCAAATTGTGATTCGGTTGGAAGAAAGAAAGATAGACAGACAGATTGTAGATTTAACGAGATGAATGGGAAAATATCGATCGAAAAAAGATACAATGAGATAATCCATTGTTTTTCTTTAAATTTTCTTGAAAATTTACAACCAAAATACTAATTGACTCTCGAACTTTAAATTCGAAGCCCCGTGTGGTCAAGTATCTTTGGTAGCCAAATGGAATTGATAACGAAAACAATATTGATAATCAACTTATACAAATAAAAACAAACAACAAATCGAAACAAAATGAAAGAATAAAATTAAAAACTAATCAACTGAATTTATAAAAATCAACAAAGATCAACATGAACCACGTGATGAAAGAAAATGAACAAATGGAAAAAAATCAAGTGAATCTGCGCAAATTAAACGAAGTAACAACTGAATTCAATCACCGGTGAACAAGCATAAGCTCGAAAATGCCAATAGTTCTAAATGAATTCGAGTTCAATGTAAAGATCAAGTCAAAGCCAATTTAGAATACGCGTTGAGCGCAATTCCTTTGAATTAGGAAGAGTTTTTCTTTTTTCCCTTTTCTCTTTGGGATAATGTCGAAAGTATAAATGGAAACAAAATGGAAAATGAAAACCAAATCAAAATCTTAAAATAGAAACAAAATAAACACGAAAAAAGGTTCACCTAATCGATTAACTAAACCACGCGTCGATTTAGTTGATATAAAATTGAGCGAAATTCAACCAAAGTCTCATCAACACTGCAAATGCTAATGAAAACTTGAATCAATCATTGAATCTCAACTAGAGCCTCAGGAACTAGAACCATAAGAGTTTAGATATCTTCTGATAATCGATTTATCTTTACTTAAGAATAAACATTTCAAAGTGTATGAGAACCAGGACAATTTACTAAATAGTGTTCTAGTTCTGATAAGATTGATTAGCGACTTTGGAAAAACACATACTGTAAAAAGACAGAAAAGAGATAAACAGAAACCGTTCGCAATTATAAGGTGAAAATTGAAGATATTAGTGTTACTGAAATGAGAGACGTGTTAGGTACAATGTTTTCCTGATGTACTTGGAATTGAAGGAGATTTAGAACAAAAAAAACTGCTGAATACTTTAAAACATGAGATGGAATGAAATCTATGACGACAATGAAATTTTGAAAGTATCTATAATGGAATTATACCAAAGCGAATGATAATTGGGTTTTGTAAAAGATGAAGCAATTAGATTTAGATGGACCTTTCTGTTTTTAGAAACTCCAAAATCAAGACAATTTCAGCAAAGTGAATGGGATCATTGATACCTAGAATAAGATAAACTCTTCGATTCAGTATTTGAATAGTTGTAAGAATTTGAAGGTACTGGCTGCGTTGCTGATAAACCCGGAGTCAAACCTTGTTGTAACATGGACAATTGGGACATGTTACCCGTAGCGGCCATACCAGCCATACCACCAAAAGCATTGATACCAGAATTATGTGGTGGAATAGGTTGAATAGGTTGTATGGGTTGTATGGGTTGAATAGGTTGAATTGGTTGTATGGGTTGTGCTGCGGGTGGCGGTGGTTGGACTGGTGATGCATTGATAAAGTTGTTCATTAAACTTTTACCAATATCGAGAGGTTGACCGCCAATACCTAGACCCTTGCCGACACCTTCAAGACCAGCAGGTAATTTACTAGGTAATTCTTCCGGCATTTCTTCACATTCATATTTGTCCATTCGTATGCTCATTGGACGTCCATATAGCTTTTGATTGTGAAACATGGAAATGGCTTGAACTGCTTCTACTGGATGTTCAAATTCAACTGTTCCATGTCCTTTACTATTATTTGATGAATCGGTGTAAAGACGAACTCGTAAGACTTTACCAGAAAGTCTGAAAATTTCTTCAAGTTTTTTCTCTCCAACTTTGAAATCAAGATTGGCGACAAAAATTCTGTTATTCAAAGGTCCAGATACACCTAGACTTTCAAGAAATTGCGGACTCAGACCATAAGTGGTGTAATTGATTGATTGATTAAGTCCAGCAGGTCTATCATAAATATCCCTTTCTCGGGGTATTATTTCACGTTCTCTTGAATCCTTGATACTTCCTCCTCCTCTTTTTGCATCGGGTAATATTAATCGACCAAAGCGATCTCTTTCACAGTCTAGATCTTCCTTAACGACAAGCTCACGATTACGAAAATTGTACCTATGTAATGTTGAAATTGCTTTCTGGGCAGAGGATGCATCCTAATAAGAAAAATATGGAAACAAGAATATGAAAATTGACAAGGAAAAGAGAGCGATTAAAAGTTTGAATGGCAACAAAATACTGGTATCCCTTTGATTTTTACTATTACAATAACGTATAGATACTATGGGAATTGTAAATTATTAGAGTGCAAGAAATAAGGATCAGGATGAAAAGCATACCAGACATAGGAAAGAGTAAACTCAACAAAAAAAATGAACAGACAGAGTAAAATATAAAATCAACAGTTCGAATGTACCACATTTAAACATAAACAATATTCATCAATAGAATTGGTAAAATCTTGGAAAAGTAAACATTTGATAGAGAATCAAAAGATCAAGTGTAGAAGAAAAGACAATTTAAATTAATTGACGGGGTAAGAATACAAAAGAGATCAACACTGAAAGGACAGTAAAAAAATACGACAGAGAAACAGCAAATCAAAAGCAAGTGAATTTAAAAGGAGGAAAAAATGATGACAATTAATTTTCTTACCTGAAATTCAACTAAACCACAGCCTCTTGATTGACCTTTTTCATCTTCAAACAGTTGACAATAGACAACATTGCCCACTTTCTCCCTGAATAAGTCTTTTAGATCATTCCATTTGATATCAAAGGGAACATTGGCAACATACACTCGACGAGAAGCCTTATCACCTCCTGCACCAATTCCAACACCTCCACCGCCACTGACACTACCACCTCCTCGATGTCGGTCAATTGGTGATCGAGATCTGCGACGTCCACCGCCTCCGCCGCCTCCACCACCACCACCACCACCGCCGCCGCCACTACCACTACCACCACGATTACCTAAATTTCGGTTCCATCCTTTGGCATCCTTCTTATAGTCATTCAAACCATCCGAACCATTATTTCTCATATCTCGATCGGACATTTTTAACTGATGGTACATCGGGTTTGAGAGAGAAAAGGGAGAAAAGAGAAGAGCGAATAAATTTAGCGAAAATAGAAAGACAGAGGAAACTTGACAGACAGAAGAAATAGACAGGTAAAAGTAGATGATAAGTAGATGGATAAAAAAACAAGAAAAAAAAAGATGAAGGAAAAGAAGAAGGAAAAAAGAAAGAAAGAAATTGAAAGAGGAAAAAGAAAGAGTAAAATTTTACCGAAAGAAAAGAAAGAAAAGTCAAAAGTGTAGACAGAACAATAGACAGAACAAAGCAGTAAAATTGATTCTCTTTCGCTCATTGGCTACAATTTATTTAGAATTTTTTTTCTACCGCCAAGTTTGAATGTTGAGAAAAAAAAATTTTTCGCTCAATAAATTTGACCATTTTTCTAACAATTAAGGATTAAATCATCATTCTAATTAATGAGAATTTTAGAAAAGAAAATTAAATCGAATCATTTGGAAATGATCTTTTACTGTTTACATTAGAGGGAAACTTTTTTGCTCTAAAGGTGATTAGTTAATTGTTGTTGATTCCATTGATTGTTGAGTAACACATTTAATCAATAATTTCATCTGTTACAATTAAATGTGATGAGATTAACAATATAATGGTGTCAAGAACGATGATGAATTTTTTAGTAACAATTAGAACCTTAAATTATGATAAACAGTTTTAATCGTTTTATTAATGTATTAATTGTTAATTAATTGTTTGAGAAAAAAAATTAACAATCGAAACTAATTCTCTGCATTGTAATAATCTTCAAGTAAACTAATCAATCTAATGATTAAAAAACTAATAGTTGACTAATTGATTATTTCAACGATAGAAAACGTTTGATTTGATTAGTTAATTGTTTTCAATTTTATTCCCAATGATGTGTTAATTGTTTTCTTTCAAAAGTTTAACTATTAATTTTTCACCTTAACAATCAAAATGTACGATTGTTATTCAAAATCATCAATTGAATAAAATTAAAATTAACTAGATTGAGAATTAATTACTTCCGTTCCTTATAAAAATTTGATACAAAATTAAATTACTTTCACTGTTTTGTTGTTGTCTCCAATTGAAAAAAAGACGTCAAGACGTTTACACAATTAGTTCATTGATTGATGATTGTTAATCTTGTTACACTTCAATTGTTGGCAAGATAATTGATTCTGATTAATACACTAATAACCTTCACAGAGATACAATTGATTGTGTTGAATATTATTTTACAGAGAGAGAGAGAGAGACCCTTGGAGAGCAACCTCTTGATAGATATTAAATTTGATTTGATTGTTTTTTACTTCCCAAACACAATTTAATCATACGAATTGGTTTAATCGTATTCAATTTCTATTTTTACAAAATTCTATCAAATTATAAATACAGAAAATTTATCAGCCAATAATTACGATAATTAGAATTCAATCAAAAATATCAACAATTTACTTTGATAGTGATCATCGTGTTTGTCTTTTTGTATATCACAAAAAAACGAGTATTCGTTTAGCTTTTGATTGAATGTGATTATCATAATTGATTAGATAAATTTTTTTTCTGAATAATAACAATAAGAATTAGACTTTCTGTTAGACAAGCGGCTTTTGGATCAGGCTACTCATTAGATTTTCACTTGGTAACTTGGTGAATTGCATGAGCCAAATAATCAACATTCTTAGAGGAAACACCGGCAACGGAAATGCGACCATCTTTTGTTAAATAAACACTAAATTCTTTGATTAATCTTTCAACTTGATCAGGTGTCATTCCAGTGAAACAGAACATTCCAATTTGATCGGTAATATGGTCCCATGATCGGCTTGATCCTTCTCGTTTTAATCCTTCCTTTAATTTGATTCTCATGGTATTAATACGATCTGACATTACTTTAATATCGGTTAACCATTGACTACGAAGTGAGGGATCATTCAAAATGGTTGAAGCGATTCTTGCTCCATGGATTGGAGGATTAGAGTAAATTGGTCTGATAATAATCTTAAGTTGTGACATGGTCCGAGCAACTTCATCTTTATCAGCACAAACAACAGAGAAAGCACCAGTTCTTTCACCATAAAGACCCATATTCTTGGCAAATGATTGAGCCGTCGCAACCTGATGACCATCTTCAACCAACATACGTAAAGCAAAAGCGTCACGATCAATGTCACCAGTGGCGAAACCTTGATAAGCCATATCTAAAAATGGAAATAGATTCCTGGCTTTGATTACTTTTGACATTTCTTTCCATTGCTCCGGCTGCAAAAACAAAAACAGAAAAACAATAATAATGAGAGAGAGAGAGAGAAAGAGTAAGAGAATATTTAAGAGATGAAGAAAGAAAATCGGATTAACCAAAGTGATTTGAGAAATTAGAATACGTGTAAGTGAAATTACGGAAAATGTTTCACCTTAGGATCTACTCCAGTTGGATTATGAGCACAAGCATGTAAAAGTATGATTGATTTTTCAGGAATTTTGGCTAAATCTTGAAGGGCTCCGGTAAAATCGAATCCACAGGTTTTAGGATCAAAGTAACGATATTGTTTAACGGTAAGACCAGCTCGTTTAAAAATAGGAATATGATTGCCCCAAGTTGGTGTTGGCATGTAAATCTCTTTAACTCCAGGGAAAAATTGAGCTAAAAAGTGAGCACCTATGGTAAGAGAACCGGTTCCCGAAATACCTTGAACAGTGGCATTTAAACCCTCCTTAATTACCGGACTCGAGTCACCAAAAGCCAATTTAGCAGCGGCTTGACAAAAATCTGCAACACCAGCAATACCAGCATATTCTTTATCAAGATTTTTCTTTGATAAAATTTCTTCAGCCTTCATTACACAAGGTAAAATGAATGGTTTACCATCATCATCACGATATGCACCAACCGATAGATTCATCTTTTTATCTGAAGTATCCTTCTTGAAAGCCTCAGTAACCCCAAGGATGGCATCAGGTGGACCCATTTCAACACCACTCCACCAACTAAGCGATGATTTAAAGGAAGACAAGGAGCAAGATGGACCATTGGAAAGGAATAATTTCTTATTCACAACTCTAACAACAAACATGATTTCGAACGAGAAAAAGACGAAAAACAAACGAAACAACAACAACAACAACAACAACAAAGGTCACCACCAACGAAGGAAATGACAAAAGAAAAAACAACAAATCAAAATGTATTAAGAAAAACAAAGCAAACAAAAAATTCCAACGATGTTAAAACCAATAAAGAAAAATAATTTCTATGTAAAAATCAAGTGACTGATTAATTTTTAAAAAGAAAAAATCAACAAACACATAAAAGTTACTCCATCTTACGGATCTTTCGACAACTAGAATTTCCCATAGTTCACAAAAGAGAAAACAGGTGACGCTTTTCCTAATCAAATTCTCAGAAAATTGAATGTAAACAAAAAGAAAAGAAAATTAATTCTCATTGAAATTCAATGATTGAATGGTCATTTGGAAAACTGATTAGCTCGAGGAGAAGAAGAGTAAAAATTTATAATTGGTGAAAGAAAATGATGACTAAAAGTGAAGAGAGAAAAGAAGAAAAGAGAGTTTGAGTGAAATTCCTCCAGATGGAGCTACTTGGGAATTCGGAGCGAATCGGATAAGCGTCACACCTGCAAAGGAGGTGGACTTGAAATGACCTCTAGAAGTCATGCCCGAGTCGCGAGCATGTCTTCTTGAATTACTCTGGTTAAAAATAACCTCTCTTTAAATTGACCTTTAATTTTGTGACCTTTAAACTAAAATTGAAAATCGACGAGCCAAAAAGAATGAATACATCACCAGCTACAAGTACATACCAAAATGAAGTGGAAGAGGTAAGAAAAACATGAAAAAAACTAAAAATGTAAAAAACACACGTGTAAAAAACTAAAAATGTATAAATCTATTACAGGTATTTCCATTCCCAATGGTACCAATAACAAGTGACGAAGAAAAGAAAAACTGGGAAATTACCAAAAAGAGAGTACAACATATAACATCGTTTGAAATATCCAACGCTTATAAGAAAGAACTCATTAAAAAACGCTTGGAACCACTGTCAATGAATGAACTATTGATGGATGTGGAAATGTTGAAAAAGATATATTCCAATCCAATAGATTCCGATGGAAAGAAAATACAGAAAAAAGAAATCGAATGGATTAAAAGTTACATGAGGTTCCTAAACTCGGAAGTCAAACGACGGACAAAAAATGAGACCGTTACGGCTAAATCCGCCCTCACGACCACGAAAGATAAGCAACATGCTCCAGAAGAAGAAGAAACCCCGAGGAAAAGAAAGAAAATTAAAGAAGCCGTTAATGTTATTAACCAACAACAAAATGAACCAGAACCAGGTTGGTGGAACTGGAAAGGTACCAAACGATATTACAAAATAAAAGTGGAAGGACCACAAGATCTCAGATCAATACATGGTCTAACGCAACAACTGAGTGAACTGTCTTTACCCTACACCTTTCGAATAATGTCTTTTCGAGACAGCTCAATCATCTTATTAAACAAAGAGGAAGAAAGAGCTGATTTATTTCGCAAATTCAACCCGAATCAATTATCAATATCGATTATAAAATGGAATAAACCACAGATCAAAATTCTGTATGTAAGACCACCGATCAGCGGCTCTTGGGAAACAATGGTTACAACCATGATGAAACTCAATGGTTTCCATGAAACTGACCAATACAAAATACTCCACAAATTTGAAATGGGCCTGAGTTCAAATCGATTCGGATTAATCATGGAAGTCTCACCATTAATCCGATCACAGATTGAAACAAGATTGAGAGGAAAATTATCTTCTGGTCAATCAGACTACCGAGTCAGGGATAATTTTCCAATAATGGCGTGTAATTTGTGTCACAAGTTTGGACACCCGAGACGAACGTGCCGAAACCAATTGAGATGTCAAAAATGTTCAGGGCAACATTTGGCAAGAAATTGTAACAGCAAAGAAGCCAAATGCCCGTCTTGTACCACAAACGGACATGAAGCTTATAGTCAAGATTGTATGTTATACAAATCAGAACTGATTCTTTACATTTCAGATATAGATTTTGAATATGAGCGCCTAATGATGTAACCAAGAGGCAACTATAGTTAATCCAAATCCGGTGTCACTATAGCAACCAAGTCAGAAGAATACAAAAGATATTGAAAACAAATAATCAAAATTTTGTAAAATTGTTCAAAATGGACTTAGATACAAGTGAACTAATTCTCAAATTAATTAAAGAAAATTTGTTAAATGAAACATTTATAAATTGGTTTAAAAATGATATTGAAACAATTCAACATATACTTTCAGCTATAATAAACAAAGATGCGGAAAAAGTTCTCGAAGAACAAAAAATGGAAGTGAATGTTATAACCGGTTTAATCGTGGTGACATCGTTCTTAGTACATCAATCACCACACAGCGAAGCCTCGACCGTATTACAAAAACTTGTTGACACCCTAATGGACAAATTAGCAGAGACTACAAGTGTTTCAAGCAGCTTAACCGAAGAGGAAGAACCATGGGTGGTTAACATTACATTAGAACATAAAAAGAAATTTAAATGGGAAATGCCAACTCACCTACAACATTTGGTAAAAAATAAATCAGTGGGTCCAAAGAAAACAGTATATGAATTTAAATCGCCCCTCATGAAATCGGAAATCGACGACATATTTAAAGAAAATAACCCTGAAATAACGATCAGCGCTCTTGATTGGTATATCATGGAAACACGACAAGAAATAAATAAACCACAACAAATCGAAATAGAAATTTGGAAATCAAAGAAAGAAATACTAATCCATTTCTCAAAGAAAACACTTATCTTTATTAAGAATATTGAATTATATGAAGAAATGAAGAAAAATAAAGGAATGATTGAAACTTGTGAAGGCCCAATATACTTTATTGGGAGAGCAAGAGTTAAACTCTGTAAAAATTGTAAGATAACCTATCAAGGTTACCATCAAATTCATGAATAAAAATTAGATAAAGTGAAACCCGGATTTGGACTAACTTTAATCAATGGAATCACAAACAGGTAACCAAGTAGGTTTACCAGCTTGATAAAAAATAAGAGAACCCTCGTTGTATCTCTTCATGAGTTGAGGACAAGGGGGATAAACCTCACCATTGTTAACTTCAACATAACCAGTAGTAGTCAACATATTGAGACAGGTATGCCAACCATCACTGAAACGACCATTTTGCTCCTCCAAAAAACGATCACCAAGAGAATTACCAAAGAAATCCACCCAAACCCGATAAACGCTGCTGAAAGCCAATCGATGATACTCGATTTCAGCTCCGTTAAAATTAAGAATCATCGTTTGCTCCATCTCAATTTCAAAATTATCATCATCCATTATTGGACCTTTTAAACTGATCACCAAAAGCTTAGGCAAATTAACAACTTTCAAATTCTTGAGAACTCGGTAAACTCCACCACAGACAGAACCATTGACAATCTTGGGACAAGTCAGAGTCACATTTAAACCCCAGAAATCACAATTCAGAATCATCGAAGAAAGTTTCACTTTAGAAAGTTTATAACAGAGATCACCAGGTAGATACAAAACAGGGAAACTGTACCTAAAACTCTGCTTTCCACAAGAACAAAAACGACAGAAAAAATCACCAGTAACAGTAAAGAAAAAATTCTTACAGAAATTAGAATCATCGTTAGCCAACTTTCGCATCACATCCCGATAGAGAATATCCTCAGCTCCACCAGGAGTTCGATAAGAATTAGAACAAAAACTACTCAGATGAACAAGTAAATGAGTTTGTTGATCGTTCAACTCCAAATCATTCAAGGGTCTTTCCTTAACAGGCGGAAAATAAGGTCGATCGGGACTCATCTTTCGCTGGAGTTGGGGAGGAAAATTTCTGACACGAAAACCATCAACCATAGAAGCCTTGAAAAACTCTCGGTAAAAAGAATGAAGAACGTAAACCCAGAGCTGAGAACCCTCCGAAGGACCAGTGTCAGTAATGAGATTCTTAGTCTTGATAGGATTCTTCAAAACACCAACATTAACAGCACTTTCAGCGTCAATGAACGAGTAGAAAAGTTGCTTTACGAATGGCACACAATGAAAAAGAGGAATTAAAGCCGAATTCAAAAAGCAATGACCTTGCCAATTAGGTAATACCATAAGACGATTAGGCTAGAAAAGAAAACAGAATAGATTAGACAAGGTTAGCCCTAATCTGGGGTCACACTTACCATAATACTATCAGGCCTCGACTCAAGTAATCGAGTGATGAAATTATAAACAGCAGCATCAACAGCTTTAGCAAACTTAGAATGACAACCAATACCTAAAAAAGGATCCTCGTCAAAACGAAAGTCAATCCGAACCAAATAAACATTATCACCTTTAACAAATTTAATTCCATAAGATTGGGAAACAATCTTCAACCGACTGCCAAGTAAGCTACTGAACTCACGAACGAAAATTAATTTGGCTCCAACAACGAATTTTTTATCTTTATAAGCTCGATATAAATCTTCTTTCATTAATTGCCCAAGAGCAACAAATTTAAACTCTTTAGGAATAGTGGCCATTTTCAAATGATGTAACTAAAAGAGAAGAAACAAAAAGAGAAAAGGTTGCTTAGCAACAAATAACCGGGAAACAACAAAATGAGTAATTTTAAAATTGTGCACCAAAACGTACATAAAAACAATAAATTAACCGAAGAGATAATTAATAAAACCTTAAATGGAGAATATACAATCTTCTCGATCTCCGAGCCAAATGAAAAAGCCTTGAACGACCACTTCAACACAAGAGGAATGTACTGGAACGGTGAACAGTCAATCGTAATATCTGACCACATGGAGACACACCAAATAAGACCAAACTGCTCGGATGTGGTGATAGTTGAAATACCATCCAACTCATTAACGGTAATCGCAGCTTACATAAGACCATGGAAAAATAATTCAACGGATATAACAACCACAATTGTTGCAGCAATCAACGAAAGCAAATACGAGAACATCATCGTAATGGGAGACTGGAATGTTTCACTTCCGTATTGGCAAAAAACGACAGAAAACCACAAAGAATCAAGAAATCCAATTTATCGTCCAATAATCGAAACATTAACAAAAAAGAAAATCATCCCGTTCACCACAGAGCTGGAAAGAACATATAAATACACAAATTGGGTTATCGACATGATTTTCCTCAAGGAAACACTACCACCAAAGAAAATAATGACGGAAGAAAATGAATCTGATCATCTACGAATAAGCTGTGAATGCTTAATAGAAAAGAAAACAAAATCAATACCAACAATTAAAGTCAAACAATTTGGTAACTGGAAGTTGAAACCGATAATATGGAAAGACGATCAACAGTGGGGGAAAAATCATCAATTAGTTAAACGCTGCCATGAAATTGTTCATTTTCCAGATGATCATGCGAGATGGATAAATCAAAGCAAAAAGAAAAACAAATTCAGAAGATTACTCAAGGAAAGGAAACAGCTAAGAAGAAGAAATTGTCCTCAAGACGAACCACGACTTAGTCAATTAACATCTGAAATAGAAAAGAAAAGAGGAAAATTCAGATTAAAACAAGCATTCAAATCAAAGGACTCCAGAGAACTTTGGAAAACAATTAAGAAATACCTACTAGCACCAGATAGACAGATAGATTGGTCAGATCCAACAGCAGCAACAAGTAAAGATGAATGGCTAGCACCGTTCACCACAAACAAACCAAAATTAATCGATAATTTCACGCCAATTGAAGGAAAATTAACAGAATACGAAAAAAATTTCATCAAGAAAGGTAAAGCGAAATCATCAAGCCTTAGCGCCGATAATTTCAATGTGACAACCTGGAACAGATTCAAAGAAGAAAACAAAGAAGCAATTATGGAAGTAATTGAGTTAATAATGAAACAATCTCACATACCGAATAAACTTACCATTTTCGGCTGCGGTTTCGTACCAAAACCTAATGGGAAGGTAAGAATGGTGAGATCACCATCGTACCTACTTAAAATCATCGACTCAATACTCGCACACAGACTACAAGCAATAGCAAATGAATACTTACTGCCGAATACCCAATTTGGATTCCTAAAGAGAAAATCAAGAGAAGAATTAATCAGAATATTATTACAACCAGAAATAAGAAATAGATCAAAGATAATTCAATTAGACATGGCAACAGCGTTTGACACGGTCAGCCTAACACCAATCCGCGGTCGGCTGACCAATGCCTTAGGCCAATCGACAATGAATCTAATTGACTCAATGAATAATAACCATTGGTACACCTACTACGAAAACAAAAAGAAATTGTATCACAAATCGAAATCGGAAATAGCCCAAGGAACTTCAGTGGGACCACTGTTATTTATTTTCGCATTGGATCATTGCATAAGGAAGTGGTGGTCACAAGGCATTAAAATATACGCATTCGCCGATGACCTTACAGTTGTCCTTGACCCAGAAAGCAACACATCAAATATACTCGATATAATCCAAAGTGACTTGAAAGAAATCAACCTAAAGTTGAACAGAGAAAAAACAAAAGAAATAGAAATCAATGATAAAGGGATGTTTGAAATAGTGGGATTCAAATATTCAAGAGCTGAAGTAACAATTAATACTCTTAAAAAACAATTTAACCAAGAAATCACCGATAAAACATATGATCGAAGGAAAATAAGATGGCCATGTATTCGATATCTACCTACAAAGATAAGAAAAATGTTGATAAATGCATATCTATGGCCGGAACTGTATAAATTCATGCCATTGGCGATCCAGAGCAGAATACCAGAATACCAAATTTACGAAGCGATTGGAACCGCAATCAATAGTTTCCTGGGAGAGAAAAGAAAGTCGAGATGGACGTACTGGATCATCGATGAATTACCATTATGGCCAGAAAACTACAAAATTGAACAAAAAATATGGGAAAAAGAAATTAATGGAGAAATAATACCAAGAAAGTGGATAGCGGTGGACAAATTGACAACCAAAATCAACACAAACCCAACACATGTAATCAAATACAAAACGATTCCAGGGAAAAAACCAAAAATCAAAATCATTCACAACAACAGTGAAAAAATATGGCAATTTAGTTACGAGAACGAAATCCAATCAAAATGGGAACTCGAAATAATAGCGCTGGATGTCATCTTGAGCGTTTGGGGAAGAACAGGGATTACGATCACATTATCAGAATTGGCCACGAGATACTTTGAATCAGAATCAAACTTTGGGTTGGATATACGAAACACATTAAGCCGTCAAGGAGAATGGACATTGAAGATGAATGAACCGGAACAAGAAGAGTGGTGGACAAGGGAAATCGGATGGGACGTACCTTGTCCCCAAAGACCAGAAACAGCTATGAAACAAAGAAAAGAAATAAAAGAAAAAGAAAAACAAACAACAAAAGAGACATTTGAAAAATCACCATCAACAATAAATCAATTAAATGTAAAACTGGGAAAAAAGCTAAATACTTACCAGAAAATAACGATCCAAAGGCTGACACAACAGAGAATAGCAGTTAAATGTTGCAACAAAATCCGACCGACCATGAAACATAGATATTTCACCTGCCCATGGATAACCAATAATTACCCAACAATTGTTCAAACACTAAAAAAAGAAGTACACAAATGGTCGAAAAAAGAAATTGAAATGTTAAAGGAGATAATAGAAATTAGAAACAATTATGATGAAGCTTATAAATTGATTTGTGACGGTTGAACATATGACCGCTCGAGGGCAGCACTTTGAGGCTGCTCAGTTGTATGACGACCGTAAGGGTCAATTGAGTTTCTCTCAATAAAATGGGTTACACAAAGAAGAGTGAAGTGAAGTTTTAGAATCAATCAATTGTGGTTAATTTAATTTCTTTTTCTTCTAAATTCTCAATTGTTCATCATCGAATTCTTATTTAATTATTTTCTATTTAAATTGAAGTGCATTTTATTCGCCATTGTTTCAACTACATTTTTCTTGTTTTCTCTGTCAACGTTTTTTTCTCTTCTCTTCTCTTCTTCTTCTTTCTCGCCTTAACCTTCTCTTTTTCTTCTTCTTCTTCTTTGTTTTTGTTTTCTTGTTTCTTGTAAGGAAACCAAAAGAGAAAAAAAAAGGATATGACTTATGCTCGAAACAGAGTTTTCATTGGTGGTATCTCATCATCAACCTCTAAAGATGAAATTGAAAGAGAATTTTCTAAATATGGAAGACTCAATTCTGTTTGGGTTGCCCAAAATCCTCCTGGATTTGCTTTTGTTGAATATGAGGATGGTAGAGACGCCCAAGAAGCTGTTAAACAATTGAATGGAACTGCTCTTTTCGATGATAATAAAGTAAGTTCTATTTCTTCTTTGGGTGTTTCAATTCCTTCGCTGTTGAAAACAAATTATTTTGCTTATTTTTTCCTCTCATTCAATTCAACATCTTCAATTATATTGTGTTTATCTTCTTAACAAAAAAAGGTTCGTGTTGAACATTCTCGAGATCGACCTTCAGGTCGAGGTAGATCTGATCGAGGCTCTGGACGGACTTTAGGTAAATGAATAATATTTTCTTCTTCTCCATTTGTAATCCATGTTGTTAACATTACTGATTTGGAATCAACATTTTCCCCATTACATCTTCAACTGCGTATTAATTACACTTTCTTTTAACATAAAAACCATGTTCTTCTCCATGGATTCTCAGGGTCTCGGGGTCGCGGTGGATCAGGAGGTGGTAGCTTCAGCCGTGGAGGTGGAAGCAGCTTCCGTAGCTCTCGAGGCGGCGGAAGTTTCCGTGGTAATTCAGGTGGAAGTGGAGGAAGCTCTAGCCGATACTCTGATAGCCGTAATGGTAGTAGTAGTCGGTATGGATCTTCTTCCTCTTCTTCAAAAGACAAATATGGATCCAGTGGTGGTGGATCTTCAAGCTACAGCAGTTATCGTAGCAGATCACCAATCGGCCATAGCAGTTCAAGATACTAAAAGTTTCATTTCTTTCCTGTTCCTGCTGTGCAACAAAACAAAACAAAAAAACACAAACAAACATACACACACACATGTAAACACATAGTGTTCGCATACTTAACACTTATACACATACACATGCAACATACACTCATACCTACATACACACACTTACCAACTACATCTCCAACAACAACAACAACAACAACAACCATAAATATAAAGCGCAAGCTTTGCGTATGAAAGCATTTCTTTTCTCTTCATATTCTCCACTCAAGATTTTTTTTCTGTGACTGGGTTCAAAAGTGTAGACCGCGAATATCTCGTTCATAATGGTGTTTTCATTGAAACACACAAAACAAAAAAATTACCGGATCATTCTAATCATCTATTCTGGAAATGGAATCTAATTGTCCAGTAACAACAACAACAGCAACAACTACAACTACAACAAACAAATGAATGAATCGACGACGACTACGACGACGACGAAAACAAAACCCACAATCGCCACAAATAACATCGCAATTGGGAAAACACTACATTCAAAAAGAAAACATCATTAACCTCTATCTGTCTATTTTTCATTTTACCGACTCTCTCTTTCTCCATTTCCTTCAATCAAATCAAAAAAATTTCAAAAATGATTCAAATGATTCGCATCTGCATGGATTTATTCACGACTTTTAATTCAATCCCCAAATAAATACACAATCACAAACACATCTCAACACAATCAATAACACAAATCAACCAGAGACGAAGTCCATTCAGAAAATCAGAAATCATGAAAAAACCTTCTCCCCCGGTTTCTAATCGTCGCTAATCAAAGTTATCCTATTCATTGGTTAATCGTCAATTTATAAATTCAAAGTGTTTTAAGAAATTGAAAGAGTAAGAAATTCTAATCCAATTTAGCCAAGCAAGAAACTGAATCTCGAAAGCAAAGCAAAAGAAAAATTGATCGAACTGAGAAAAGATCAACTTAATTATCCTGATTATCCTTTTGGTGTTTTCTTCTTGTTGATCACAATTTAAAAAGAAAAATGAAACTCATTAGTCAATCAAATGAAATTATAAAATTAATTCCAATTCATTAACGACGTTCACATTCACACAATCAAAGAAATTTAATTTCCCATGAATTCATCTGATTCTCTAGTCAAATCAAATTAACAAATCAGATGGAGAAAAGAAAAGGAGTTAAATTGTCGAAACATTGAAAAAGAAGAAAATTAATTTTCACAATCAATTAATTACCAGAGAATTGATTTGTTATACTCTGTAAGTCTCAATGTTCACATAATTGGACAATTAATGGAGATGATTTAACCTGATTGAAAATGAGAGATTCGTTAATTGTAATTGTTTTTCCTACTCAATTCCATGGTTACAATTAATTATCAAGGTAAGTCGATTATTTAATTTTTATATTTCCTCTTCAATTTTCCACTAACAGTCAAACAATTAGTCTAACAATTAACTCTCGCCATTAACGGAGCCATTTCCATCTCTCCAATTAACTGAATTAACAGTTGATTACATTTTATTATTAATTCTCTTTCTAATTACAACCAATTCTGTTCTGTAAATGTGGCAATGGTTACAATTAACTCTCACATTACATGGAGTGGGTTCTATGTAGAGAGAGAGAGAGGAGGATGGATGATGATGATGTTGATTACATTTTGCAAGAGAAAATAGACAGACAGAGGAATAGACAGAGAAAGTAGAAAGGAAAAAAAGAAAGACAGATAAGTAGAAAGAGAAGATTTTGATTCTTTTTTCTTCTCTCTTTTTTTTCTGGTTTTCTAAAGAATATTTTGTCTACGCTGACTCCAAACTTCTCTCTTTATCTTTGCAAAGTAAATTGTCTCATTTTCTCTTCATTTAAGTTTAATTGTCAACACAATTCTGCTAATTGTTATCAATCATTGTTCCTTCCTCATCAATTGTCATCAAAGTTTAATTAGTAAATTCTAATTCGTTAAGTTTTATGTTTGTTTACCTTCACATTTTCATGTTGTAAACTTTGTTGGTTAATCTCTGGACTCCAGTGAAAAAGAAATGGTTGATTTGAGAAGGTGAAATTATCTTTTATCTGATTCTTTTTTAATCTCTTTTCGTTGATTGTCACTTAATTTTTCCATATGTGTCGCAATTAGTGTCAATATTAATCCTCCTCCGATTGTTGATTAGTCTCTGTTTCTGTCATAATGTTGACACATTTTGGTTAATCTTCTTTCATTTTCTCTGCTCATGTTTTCTTTTTCTTTCTCTTCCCCTCCAACCGAATCTCGTGTATCTCTTGTTTTCTATTTTAATTCTAATTTTCAATCAATTAATCGTTTTCTTCTTCTTCTTCTTCTTCTGTCATCAGGTTTGATGTTTATCGAAAGATTCCCAAAGATCTGAAAGAAGATCCAACAAACACCGGAGCCATAATCTCGCTGTGTGGTTGCGCCTTCATTTGTTTCCTTTTCTTTTCCGAGCTTTTTGCCTTCTTCACTTTGGAAGTGTAAGTTAATCCACATCCTAATCTCTTCCAAATCCACCCTATCATCATCATCATCATCTTCTTCATCAGAGAAAAAGAGAATCATGATGTGTCACTTGTGATGAAATTGTTCTGTTCACCTTTTTTTCTGTCTCCATGATCCATCTAAAGGTGATCATGATGCTGGTTAGTCGAGGTGATATTTAAGATTCTCTTACACTTTGTGGTCATCTAACCGAAACAATTTGTTGATTTTTTCTATTCTATTCTTTTTTAAACTTATTCTCTCTCTTTTTTTGCCCTTTTCTTCATCTAAAACTCTCAGTGTCAGTGAACTTTATGTTGAAAGCTCTGAAAATGATTCCAACGACAAAATAGCCGTTCAATTGAACATCACTCTTCCAAGGCTTACATGTTCCGGTGTGTATATTGTTTCATTTTAATTCAATTTACAAAAGTTAACCCTAAACAGAGTAACAATTAACATAAACACTAATCTTTTTTTTCTCTTCTCTCATTTTGTATCATTTAGCTGTTGGTTTGGATATTCAAGATGACATGGGGCGACATGAGGTATACACACTCATGATATTCATTTTAGTTACTATTCCAAATCATTTCCATTTCAATTCAGATGGTTAATGGTTTTCCTTTGAGCGCCTACATGAGCAAAGATCTTCATCACAATTGATAATCTCTTAATGATTACCATTAATTACACGTTTCTCAAAAGATGAACCGATCTGTTCATTTAATCTAATCTCATCATCATAATTATGACTTAATTGTTGATACAGATGTTTAACATGATCCACATTTACTACACTGTTCTCCATGAAAACTAATCTTTTTTTGATTGTTTTCTATTCCTATTCTATTAGGCCTTAAGCCTAATCTACCACACCCACACTTTAATCCTTCGTTATATCTTTTTATTGACTCTCTTTTATGAATTTAATTTGTAACATTTTCTAGTCTCTTTTCAGGTTGGATTTGTTGAGAACACCAACAAAATTGAACTGAACGGAGGTAAAGGATGTCGATTTGAAGGAAAATTTTACATAAACAAAGTACCTGGTAATTTCCATGTGTCAACTCATTCCGCATCTAATCAACCCGAAAACATTGACATGGGTCATCACATTGATGAATTAATGTTTGGAGACGATGTTAGTCAACTTGGTCTTGTCGGTGGTTTTACAACACTTCGAGGCCAAAATAAAACAAACGTTCAAGGTAACGAATTAAGAAACTAATGATGACCATTGTGACAATTTTCTTATTCTTATTTTTTTCTCTCTTTCTCTCTGTTTAGCTATCGAATCTCATGAATATCATATGAAAATAGTGCCTACAATTTATGAAGATAACAAAGGAACTAAATTACAATCTTATCAATACACTTCTGCTTATAAAAGTTTTCTCTCCTTCCATCATACTGGTCGTATGATACCGGCAATTTGGTTTCGCTATGACCTTAACCCGATAACAGTCAAATATAGCCGGAAAAGGAAACCTTTTTATACCTTTTTAACCTCCGTTTGTGCCATCATCGGGGGCACTTGCACGGTTGCAAGTCTAATCTATTCCTTTATTTTTACCACTTCCAAATACTTTCGTAAACACGAAATCGGCAAATTAAGCTAGTCCATTTTGTAACTTTGTAGTCCCTGTCTCCTTATATTTTTGTTATCCCTAATCAATAATCATAATCAATTTTGTGATAATATCATTAACAAAGTGAAACTAATGAAATCTTACATTAATGGTTTTCGTTTAATCCCATTGACCAAAACAAATATAAAAAAAAACAAGAATCAATTTAATCAATGTTGATCAGATGATAAATTATCTATTCGATAAGCAACCGTTTTAGTGAATCAATTGATTTCATTTCAGAGATTTAATTGTAACCACTTAAAGATTCACGATTATTAATCATCTTGAGACTTTGATTGTAAAGAGTAGGAGAAAATGAAGAAAAATAGAAACACTTTGAATGGAAGATCATCTTCATCGTCATCATTGGAGCCTCTTTTATAAGAATAAGGATAAAATTATTATCATGGAAAAAAAAGTTTCTCAATAATCATTAACATTGAAAAGATTCTAAATATTAATCATCATAATAATTCATGGAGGAAGGAAAACAATTTACAAATACAAAGGCAAAAGTTTATTGGCTCAATCAAGTTAATCACTAGTGAGAATGATTAATTCTAACGGTTAATTTAATCATCGTAATCATTGATTATCTTGGTTACAATTGTTGGCAAATATCTTGCATGGTAACAACTCGTCTCTTAACCAGAGACGAGCTAAAAATAAAGATGAAGATGAAGATGAAGATGAAGATGAAGATGAAGATGAAGATGAAGATGAAGATGAAGATAATAATTATAAAAATACCATGTAACCGAAAAGTAATGTTTAGTTGGGATGAATTTCCCCTTCTCTTGAGTTTAAAAGGATAAAAGTTATGTATTGAATTAATAAAGTGGAAGAATAATACTTCAAATGGTCCGTCGAGCCGGATACGCGTTTGTATCTGAATATTAATCTAAAGTTTGTGTTCGTCCATCGTAATTACTTTCTTATGTTATTTTTGTTTTAAATTGTGCTAAAATTAATTAAATTATCTTATAATCATTATCATGAATCAATCAATTGATCAAAAACAATAATCAACGAGAATTATTCAGCAAATTACTATAAAAAAAAGTGAAAATTCTATTTACTAATCATATTTGTGTTACAACCAATTCTTTGTTGAAGTTCACATTTTCTCATGGATCTCGTTTCACCTTGACAACGTTCTATTTATTCGTTTTCAAATTTAACTAACCAATTAACTCTCAAAACCTTTCAATATTCTTCGAATTATTAACGAGTTATTTCTCTTCATCACCTTTTTCTTTGTTTCAAAGTTATGTGTTAAAATGAGAATATTATACAAAAATTCATAATTATCTTCAAACATCATTTTCTCTTGATAAAATATGACCGATTGATTAATCATTAATATTTGAATTAGTTTGACCAATATATAGTAGTATTTACTAATAATACGAGTGAATCCTCCAGTTACTCATCAAAGATTGAATGCGACTGATTATCACAAATTATAATCAGATCAGTTTCTACTTATAATTGCATCTATATCTTACAAAAACTTTAAACATTGTTTATTCTATGAGTTGCCTTGACATAGTGCACATATTAACCTTTACATTGAACAAAAATCATAATTTTTAAAAAAAAAACTCTCATTTAATTCTTGAACTCACGTAAAAATTGATCTAAGAAATCGATCTATTCCAAAAACCATTTGAAAAATTAACATTATAAACAACCACCCAGGTTAGCAATCTAATTACATAGAACTACATCATTTGGATTCAGCCCAAGCTAAGTTTACTCACTTGTTTAAATAATCTTACCATCAACATTGCAACTATGAAAATATAAACCATTTTGCAAAGCTAAAAATAATAATTCGTTAATTGAAAATCATCTGAAGTTTCTTCTAAACAAAGTCTAAAATAACTTTCTCTCTCTTATATTTTCTCTCTTATTTTCTCTCTCTTATTTTCTCTCTCTCTCTTATTTTCTCTCTCTTATTTTCTCTCTCTCTCTTATTTTCTCTCTCTTATTTTCTCTCTCTCTCTTATTTTCTCTCTCTCTCTCTTTTCTCTCTCTTATTTTCTCTCTCTCTCTTAATCTTTCCTCATTTTCTTATTTACTTTTCAACCCTAAAAATAGTATCATATATACAGTCGACTCAAAAAATCTGACGATTGACGATAGATAATCTGTGACGGTAGCAACGTTAAAGTTGATAATTCGCCAGCTTTACTTGATTGTTTATTTCTATCAACACAACCATATTTGGTTATGAACAAAACAAAGTTTAATTGCTAATTTGCCAATTGAAAATCAACATTTCTTCCGAAATAACTTAAAGTAACCTCTGATGGGAAGATTTAATCTAATCAGTTAGTTACTCTGGTTTAAATTGGAAGATCATCACTAATTGTATTTTGCGGAATCAATCATGTCATATCCCCATAAATATGGACAAGTTCTCGAACTTCAACCAAATTTCCCTTTCATATATGATAATATAAATTTACCTGTTCATATCTCATATTTCACTGGAGAAACTAATGATGACATTATCAAGTGGATTGAACAGTTCGAAACAACTGCACGAAGTGACGGATGGACAACAGAACAAATGTTTACGATTGTTCCAACCTTGTTACGAGGAACAGCTCGAAGATGGTTCAACTTTATCAATGGTAAATTTACTCCTGAAAACAAAAGACCGTCAAACTACAATGATTTGAAAGAAGCAATGGTACGTGACTTATGCCCGTCCGATTTTCGCTCCTATTTATCTCAACAACTGAATAACGCTGTTCAGATATCAGGTCAATCAACGACTTCGTTTATTTATGAAATTTATGACATTTGCTTGCGAATTGATGAGAATACACCAGAAACATTGATTCTAAGTATCATTAAGGAAAAGTTACTTCCACAAATCAAATATGGAATCGCCTTGCAAAACCCACAATCTCTACAACAACTATTAGAATCAGCAAGATTAGCTGAAAGAGCTATGCTCTCATGCAACAATCCATTCGTTATGCAAAAGGAAACTTTTAATCCTAGCATGAACGACATTGTAGTGAACCTTCAAAAGTCTATTGAACGATTGTCAGCAAAAATCGAAAACTTATCTACTAATCAAGTCATTTGTAATTATTGTAATAGACGAGGTCATACCGAAACGAATTGTCGCCGTAAACTACGATCTTCATTAAAGCTTGATACTATTTCCTCCAGTTATCCAACAGCTAATCAACCCTACACACTATCAGTTCATTACAATCAACATTATCCCCAACACACAAACAATCAATATGAAAGAGATTACAACCCATCAACTCAGACTGAACATTCTCTCCCACGGAGTGGAAGAAGCAGAACCCCGGAGACAAGGAATGATGATAATTACGAAATTAAATCGGTTCATCGACAAAAACAATCTACCAACCCAAATAAAAACGCACGAAAAGAGGTAAAATTAGTAACCCAGACTTCTGATCCTAGTGATACGGATGATAATGGACATTTTCCTGAAAATAATACTATATTTAATTTCGCAATCGTGAACGACTATGACTCAACAGATGAAAGTTTAATCCTTGATGATGATCCACCCCTAGGTGTTAATGCTAAAAATTCAATACACAATAACTGTCTTGTTTACTCAATAGACACAGATGATCGACCTTCAATCAAACAATCATCTGATCAACAAAATAAATCTGAGAACGGAACGGAAAAGTTGGTCGACAAATTCAAGCTTCGTGAATCTCAAACTCAATCGTATAAGAAGCAAGAAAAACAACCAGTGAAGGAAAAACAGCCTTGTACTCGACGAACAATCAATCAATCGATTTATATCATCATGATCCTCTTGATACATTTATTTCTTCTTGCCGTTTATCAAAAACAAGGAACGGATCTAATGTGGAAAAACGTCGACCACAATTTCTTCATAAAAATCATGATATCGTTTACCAATCGGAAACCCTCGAGAGTTGGACTTGACCAGTGGAATGGTCACCATAAGACCGGGGAGATGTTGGCAAATATCTTGCATGGTAACAACTCGTCTCTTAACCAGAGACGAGCTAAAAATAAAGATGAAGATGAAGATGAAGATGAAGATGAAGATGAAGATGAAGATGAAGATGAAGATGAAGATAATAATTATAAAAATACCATGTAACCGAAAAGTAATGTTTAGTTGGGATGAATTTCCCCTTCTCTTGAGTTTAAAAGGATAAAAGTTATGTATTGAATTAATAAAGTGGAAGAATAATACTTACAATATTTGTTCATCTCTAATGGTTTAAGATTGATGATGTTTCTAATTGTTTGAAAACAACAATCTATTAACATGCAAAGGTTAATTTTACCTTTGCCTATTATACATTGGTGTTCATTTTATCACCATGATTACCTGATAACATGAATCTATGTTTCCATGTCCTTGGAAATGCGGTACTGAACTCATATAAAAAGCTAAGATGCTCATGATGTTTCCCTGGAAATGATTCAAATCTCAAAGATAATCAACAATCAAGGGGAAATGTAATTTAAACGTAACAACAACAACAAGAAAATCAAATGGATAAACAATAAAGAAGTAAAAGAAAAAATATTATTAATTTTAGAAAATGAAAAGGATTCAAGCAACCGAATCAACAATCACCATGAATTACATGATAATATTTGGCTGAAAGGAAACAATATGAATACAATCAGTACAATTATCACCTATCACAATCGAAACCATCATAATGTAATAAAAAAATAACACAGAAACACTCAAGATAAACCCATCGACCACACCCGAAAATAAGTGAAAGTGACACAGAAAAAAAAGTCAACCAGTTTTCATATTGTTGTTTGGAAGCAAAATATTGATTCTTTTTCAATAACAATTTAGATGATTTGATAAATCAATCGATCTACAAATGGTTAATAGTCCGATTGATGAAGATGGTGATCAGTGATTAAATTAATTATCGGTTAATATTGAATAATCTATTTTATGTATAAAAGATTTTACAAAAACAAATCGAGCGACAAAAAGTGCGAGCTAAAAGTTTATAAGGTTTTCTTGGAAATTGATTGATTTTTAATTGGGATTTAAATTGAATTCGTGATGATTACGATTTAGTTTTGCTTTTTCGCTGAAATGAAATGGGTCATGAAATTGTCGCTGTTGGTCATAGGCTTTCATATAACTCGAACCACTATAAATTATCACCTCGGCTCAGGGAAGAGGATCCTTTTCGTCTTCTAAGGAAATAGATGACCCCACCAACGACAAGAATGATGACCACAAGGGCACCACAAGTTGCCCCGACTACAATTGGGATTCCATTGTCACAGTGCCAGAAAGAGTGATAATTTCCACAGGAATCTTTGGAAGCCGAATAGTACATTAGTTGTTGCTTATCTGCCGAAAGGTAGGCCTCGGTTCCTTTTTGATCGCAATAAGTGGGAACCATTTTGTAAAAACAATCGAGAACATCCTGAGCAAAGCAACAAAACTTTTTCTCAGTTCCACCATTGTCCCATTTCTCTTTATATTCATTGTAACAAGCGTGAGTTTTATCATAAATTTCCTGTTTACAGGCATTTGGATCTTGAATAAACCCCGCTGTTAATTTAATTGCTGAATTAAATGCATCCCAAGAGCTTAATTGGTAAGGTGGTTCCTCGGTTGTCGCTGTTGACACTTGTTGAACTTTGGATGCACCGCTACTTGAGGCACTTGATGATGATGATGAGGATGATGAATCTTGACAGGCCACATATGAAACTAATCCACTGATTAATAAAATTAAACACCAGCACTTAACTAGACTCATTATTTGGTATGTTGATCTAATTGTGAATAATTTAGTAGTTGATTGATTCATTTTCAAGTCTTTTCACTTTGTAAGTTGATTGTTTGATTTTCTCCTTTGGTTTGGGTTTTAATTTATATTATTAATGCGTTACTTTTGTAGGCACTGAAACAACAATTTACTTGATTAACACAATTTAGAGGTATAATTGTTGAATATTTATTTACCTTTCTTTTGCAGTTGATTAACTTGATTGTGTTGATTTCGGACAAATTTATTCCTGATTCTGTCAACTTTTCTGTTCTTTTACAATTAAACTGATGTTATTAAGAAGATTTGTCGATTTAATCTTAACTCTATCATCTTTCTCTCTCACCCTCTCTCACCCTCTCTCACTCTCATGCTCACTCCTTCATCTCTCTTTCATCTCGTAGTTTCAATCATCAACAGCAATGAAGTTTATCACCAAATCAAGAGGAGGGATGATGATGAAGACGAGAAACTGATTCAGTCAATGTTTAACTAGGTTTTCACTTGTAATATTATCTTTATAAAGAGGATAAAATCAACAGAGATCTAGATAAACATGATAATGGTGATGATAAACTGAAGAAAGCAAAACTTATCTCCACAGGTAATATTCAAATGAAAGAAAGTGGTTGAAGAGGACGAGAGAGAGAGAGAGAGAGAGAGAGAGAGAGTGGGTGGGAAAAGGAAACGATGAGAACTCAGGTAAGTGGATTTACTATTTCCTCAATTTATTCAACTCTAGATTAATTGTCATGATGATGATGAAGATGAGGATGATGATAATATAAAATCTTCTATGGTTAATTGTTCAACCGGATGCTTGCTTGATAAAATATACCTTTCATATTAACAGGTAACCCTGAATACCTGAGCTTTTTATTGTACATTTTTTTTGGATTTATGATTGTATTAATATTACAATACAACTTATTTTTTATGGTTAATTGTTGTTGTTTAGATTCTTGATCTGACTAAATCTCACAACGATATTAGTTAATTGTGATATGTGTATATTAATTAAATCGGTACAACACCGGAAAGATTAATACATGTAATTTATATCAGTCGAAGCAATTAATTCAGTTGTAAACCTTGGACTCTTTATGTTTACTTTTTGATTAGTTGATTCAATTTGATTGTGACTCATTTAATTAGCATTCTCTTGTTATGATTAACTTTTTAAACAACAATCACCTTGAAAATTTAGATATTCAATTACAATGTGAGCAATTAAAAGCCACGTAAAGATTAAATTCTTTGTCTTTTACTGTATTCTGAGTTTTAATTGTAATCACAATTTAAATTGTCATCATTAATTGTTACGTTCAAAAGGTCTTTGTGATTAATTAATCAAATTTAATTTCTATTTGTCATTTATTCAATCAATTGATAGCTTGATATGTTGATTGTTAGTGTTACAAAGTCTCTTGGAGACAGTTAACCCTTTTTATTGGGAGAAAGTACAATTAATATGCTGATCATTGAAAGTGATTTAAATTGTTCAATTGATTACAGCCTGTTGATTAACAATATTAATGGAACGAGAAAAGTAAATATCAATAAATTGTTTGCAGTGAATTTGATTTAGCTGAGCAATTAAGTTAACAATTATTAACCATTTTAACACTCCCATGCAACATTAGCAATTGTTTTATTTGATTTCTGGTGAAAATCAAATAGTCGAAACCATTTAATTTAATTGTTTGATTAAAAACAAATTCTTGTACATAGAAAAAAAATATGAGCTCTTTGATTACATTCAATTATTGTTAGGTTTTTAATCTGATTTTGAACACACAAGTCGAGTCATCAGCGGATGTTGATTAATTGTTGTTCATTCAAGTAAAGTAATTTAAGATGAAATATAATCAAGTGAATAAAGTTTCTCTTTTCATTCATTAACTGTAATCTTAATCAGGATGATGATTATGATGAAAACTTGAGATGCTTAATGATTATTACACAAAACAATGAATCATTTCAGCTTGCATATTGAGATGTGATTGACTCATAATCGTTAAGTAAGGATAGAGATCAAATCTATTGACTGCTAATATAATCAAATTATAACTATTCAAGTATAAGGATTATATTAATTCATTATTATATTAATATTTGGACGTGTACGTGTGAATAGTGACAAAGTTTATCATCTATTAGATTGAAAAGTACAGTAAAGGGTATTTGCATTAAAAATTGCTTTATGAATGAAATTAATAATCACATATTCAATTACAGTTGAAATGTTCCTTTGGTGAAAATTTAATTGGAGTTAATTGAGATATCATCATCATCATTTCTAATTATCAATGTGCAACATAGTAACTTTTTAATGCTCTTGAGACCTAAACACTTGGAGTCTACACTTAATTCAAGGTGAATATAAGGTGAAAGGCTAGTCAGACTAATTAAAAGTAATTAAATAGAAACTTGTTTGATCGACTGTTGCTGGAGTTAATTTCATGAATCGGGAATCACTTCTGATTTGAATAATTGGTTCTCGGTAAGAATAGGTAACTATTGGTACTTTTTCATACATCTCTTAAGTTGAACGCTAGAAACTGATATAAGCTAATACTGAGAGTTTTCTGAAAAGTTTATATCGATAACAAATTGATTTGATTACAGTTGATCGACATGTTAATTAAACACAAGTTTATGGTTTTAGTGGTTTTATCCTGTTGCATTTGTTGTGTTTTTCAGATAGTGCAGCAAACAATTAAACACTTTGGTAAAATTGTTCACGTACAAATTGACGGATATGCTGAAAAATTTGACTTTCCTGATATTAACATTTGTGTTCTTATTGGTAACGTCTCTCTAAATAGCCCAAAACCGATTCCTGAGAACGCGCTCGAGAATCCAGAATACATCAATTTTATTGGTAATTTAACTATAAGTGAGATACGAAAAATGCTCAAACCTGAAATTTTCTCTTTGAACACTTACATAGAAAGTCCATTTGCCTTTCCAAATCGTGCTGATCCTAAATGTCAAACAGTTCATTACATCGATGGTTTTGAGATCTACATAAAGATACAATGTGCTAACTTGGAGAATCATGTCAACTCTATGCTTGTAATTGAATTTGACATACCTTCATATTCCCTGTTGTTGACTGAAAATGGAAAGTTTGATGGTATATATCACTCACAACGAAATATGATTCCATTAACCACCGCTAATAATAAACACATGATGATAAGTGTAAATAAACTCACTGAAAGTGTTTATAAATACCCCGAAGGTCCTGGTTGCTACGATTACACTACTGATGATTATTTCGATTGTAAGATCAAAGTACTTCGAAAGTTTCGTAACAAGACACTTGATGTTAACACGATTATACAGCTGAATGATACGAGCTTTGATGACCATCGATACGTGAATTATGTCGATCCTGTTACGAAAAAACCAGGGCTCTTAGGAGGATGTGCTGACCCTTTCAACCCAAAATAAAATGTCGCCATGCTAGATATGAGTCATTAATCACAATACTGGCCACAAATACGACGCAATCTAAGCTTAGTTTTATGCTGAGACGTCCAGATGAAGTTTATTATAGTTTCAAATATGGAAGTACTTTGAACGAATATATTTGGGAAGTTATTGAGATCACTTCCATTTGGTTTGGATTTTCAGCTATCTCGGTAATAAGCTTGATAACAGAAATACTCGACAAATCATTATACTATTTAAAGTCACAAAGTGGATCGAATCTGATTAACAAAATTTTTCCTCCAACAGCCACATAAATTCACTTTATCGAAATATTATATAAATAATAATTTAAGCATAAATTTATCAGCATATGACTTTCAATATATTGATTAAGCAAATTTAATCTCACTTATCATTACATCGCAACTTATTTCAGCTAAATGCCCAAATGTACTCTGTTTCAATTACTTGTTAATCATCGCTAACGCTGCATAGAAAATTTGTTTGATTAAACTCTAAATAATAATAATTTTGACCTTTTCTGATTCTTTCGTCAGAAAACTGTAAGTCCCAAGCTAAATAATCTAAGATTTTAGAGTAATGAGAAAGCATTGCAAAAAATTTTTTGTCTTTATATCGTTTGATAAAACGACATTGTGTTAATAACACTCATTGATTTCATACACCTTTTCATAAATGTCATGTTCAATGAATTTGTTGGCTTATATGTAAAAATCCATTTATAATCGATGTCTTTCCAGTTTCGATGTGACTCAAATCTATATGATTTTATTATCGTTCCAATAATGAACTTTATATATAAAACGGAGCCAATCTTTGACCGATACAATCTCTTGGTCTTAAGCCGAATGGAATATAAGCACCAGCGGGAATTTTCGGTTGAGCATCAGGTGAAAATCTTTGAGGTTTAAATTCAAAGGGTTCAGGGAAAATCTTTGGGTCTTTTAAGATGGTTAAGATGCTGATTATAATTTTCGTACCTTTGGGTAGAATCTTATCATCGACAATTTGTTCATGTTCAGTAGCTCGAACTTTAAATGGGACGGCAGGATAAAGTCGAAGTGCCTCTTTAAAACACTGATCGAGAAATGAAAAACTGTTGACAGTCCCAATGGTCCAGTTTTCAATGTCAATACTTTCAACCTCTTCGTAAATCATTTCCTGGTACTCAGGATAACATCTAAGAATATAAATGAGCCAAGTCATTAGAGTTCTGGTCCATCTGAGCCAGCAGCTATTATGACTTTCATTTCTTCCAAACGGCTGATCCGATTTCTGTCGTTAATCCAGTTTCAGTTTTCTTAAAAGAAGTTCACATAAACATTTCGCTTTTTTTATTTCAACAATTGATTCATTCATTAATGTTCAGACGTGTACGTGTGAATAGGAACAAAGTTAATCATCTATTAAATTGAAAAGTACAGTAAAGGGTATTTGCATTAAAATCACTTTATGAATGAAATGAATAATCACATACATTTTACATATTCAATTACAGTTAAAATGGTCTTTTGGTGAAAATTCATCTAGAGATAATTGAGATATAATCATCATTTCTAATTATCAATTTTACTAATGTAATTATGATGTGAAACATGGTAACTTACTAATTCTCTGGAGACCTAACCTCTGGAGTCTACACTGCGAGGTTAATTCAAGACAAAGGGTCAGTCAGAATTACTAACTATATGAAAGTAATTAAATAGAAAATTAAAATAGAAAATTGTATAAGTAATTTTCTAGATATCAAAGAAATAAACTGTTTAAAAATATTTCCAACCGTGTATATCCAAATGAATCTAAATTATTAATTCATGAATACTGTTTACTCTGATCCTATAAAGATATGTTGAAATCGCCAATTGTTATAATATATTATTCGTGATATGCATTTAAATTTCAATAACTAATAGATTTGTTCTAAACTCATTGAGAATGAGATGATCACTAGAAAATTATTGTAAAAGTCCTGTCTACCAATACAACACCTTCAACTCTTCGCCTATTTTTCGCAAACAATATGTTAATTCAAAACAAATTACACGTTCATATTTTCTTGTTTTGTGCTCTGAATTGTTTTTATCTGATTTATCGTGAAGTTCAGTATCTAAATAGTGTACTTTCAGTTGAGACTCTTTCTGGTATTTATTCTCTTCCTGACATCAACTTTCGTGTTCCGCTTAATAAAGATACTCTCACCATAACAAATGAAACGCGGTCAAGTGGATTAAAATAAAAGTTTAATTAGTAATTTCACTATCGCCCAGATTCGTCAAAAGCTAAAACCACAGCTGTTTTCCGTTAAAGTATACCTAATGAATACTTTGGCCACAAATAAGCGTACTAAGCCGAATTGTAGCATCATTCATTATATTGATGGCTTCAGAATATACATAAAAGTCACGTGCTCTGATTTAGAGAGCCATTCGGATTCAATACTAGTGATCGAACATAATTTACCTTCCTATTCATTGATGTTTTCCGAGAAAAGAGCATTTGACGGAGCATTTGCCGTATATGGTGAAAAAGGTATTTACGGTGTATATGGTGCAAGTTATGCACCACTAGTCATGTACCCATTGACAACTGTACACTATGAATCTGTATTTGACGTAAGAGAAATTGTTACCATTTATTCTAAACCACCTGAAGGCCCTGGTGTCCGTGATTATACAATTGATGATTATAATCGATGTAAGATCAAGACAGCCCTGAATTTCGGAAACAAGACGCTTGATTTGAACACTATCGTAGAACTAAACGATCCTGAATTTGATGATTACCGATATATAAATTATGTTGATCCTGATACTAATAAACCGGGATTGGTAGGAGGGTGCGCAGACCCTTTTGTCTCAAAAACTAAATATCGTGATGTACAATTCAGCAGAGCTGGTATTACCGAAGTATTGAGGTCGCATACACCTAAATCTATGCTAAAGTTCAGAGTAGATAGGTCAGGGTATGAAATCTATTATAAATATTCAAAGACTCTAATAGATTATGTTTGGGAAATTCTTGAAATAGCTTCTTTTTGGCTTGGATTCTCGGTTTTCTCTGTAGCTAGCGCATTGGCAAAAATAATTCAAAAATTATATATTAAAGCCAAACTGAAATGTGGTCAATATTTATTGAATAAAATCGTCCCAGAAACCTGTGAACATACTCACTCATACGAGATAAACCATTAACTGATTGTGATTTATATAATAAAATTACATGTTTTAAATCTCCGATAAGAATTAGTATTTTCATCAAAAACTTTTTTGAACTCTTACATTCGGAATCAATTGAGATATTAATTAATTGAGATTAATTAGTAGCAGAATTGGTGAAGTATTTCATCTTCCCATGGTTATAAAAGATGGACTTTACTGGACTTGGACTGGATGGAATTAAACAGCAGAAACATACATTTTTTTCTTCCAATCAATTCAGAGCTCAAAGGATATTGAACAATATTCAAGTTGAACAGATACGAATTGATTTAAGTAAGAACATGATTAAAATGGATGATCTTAAATCTAGTCTATTGAATCTTTTGGATTCCGTTGAGAAAGTTTTCAATTCCAATTGTGCCAATCCAAGAGATGATCTTTTAATGGTCAATCCAGTGATACCTGTCCACCCACCGTCCACGAGGAGGGATAAACCTATTGATAGAGAGGGAAAGAGGGAGAAGGAAAAGTTGGTTACAATTAGCTGGATAAAGGGAAATGAAACAATCAGATCCCTTTAACAATCAACCTAAAAGTCATTTGATTGTCAACCATCGATCACGTTTTAGTTAATTATATACTTTCTCTTGGTAAACTCAATTCAACCAACGGAAATTAAATTACTACCAAATAACAATCTAGTTAACACATGCTTTAAATTGGCTCCAATTACGATTTAGTTTTGCTTTTTCGCTGAAATGAAATTGTCGCTGTTGGTCATAGGCTTTCATATAACTCGAACCACTATAAATTATCATTTCGGCTTAGGGAAGAGGATCCTTTTCGTCTTCTAAGGAAAAAGATGACCCCACCAACGACAAGAATGATGACCAAAAGGGCACCACAAGTTGCCCCGACTACAATTGGGATTCCATTGTCACAGTGCCAGAAAGAGTGATAATTTCCACAGGAATCTTTGGAAGCCGAATAGTACATAAGCTGTTGCTTATCGGCCGAAAGGTAGGCCTCGGTTCCTTTTTGATCGCAATAAGTGGGAACCATTTTGTAAAAACAATCGAGAACATCCTGAGCAAAGCAACAGAACTTTTTCTCAGTTCCACCATTGTCCCATTTCTCTTTATATTCATTGTAACAAGCGTGAGTTTTATCATAAATTTCCTGTTTACAGGCATTTGGATCTTGAATAAAACCCGCTGTTAATTTAATTGCTGAATTAAATGCATCCCAAGAGCTTAATTGGTAAGGTGGTTCCTCGGTTGTCGCTGTTGACACTTGTTGAACTTTGGATGCACCGCTACTTGAGGCACTTGATGATGATGATGATGATGAATCTTGACAGGCCACAGATGAAACTAATCCACAGATTAATAAAATTAAACACCAGCACTTAACTAGACTCATTATTTGGTATGTTGAAAAAATTCGTTTGAAATTAGCATTGGATTCGCTTGATAAAACTTTATGTTCATCTGATGTAACTATTATACGTATATTTATGGTAATTCTCGTCGTAGTTTCATCACCGCGGAATATAATAGATAAAAAATAGTCTGAGAAAATAGATAAGGTCAATATAGTTCCCATTGTATATATGATTTTCTAGATCAGTTATTGGCTAAGCTGAACCAAAGATCATCAAAGTCTCACATCAATAAGAGATACAATTAACTTTTATGAGGGTTTATTGATAACCAGATACCCAACTGATAAACGTTTAGTCTCATTGGTTAATGATTTCATCCGCTAATTGATCTTAAAGTGACCACTGATTTACGAGGAAGTTGAGCCAGAATCTGCTGAGTTATTAATATTTTTGAATTGTTGTTACTAAAAAAATCCTACTGCAGGACAATCAGTGATGTTGCTAACAATCAAATGATTAGACTTTGATTGTGACTCATTTACAGTCAATCTCTTTTGCTTGAGACTCTCGAAGCAAATTTTGAGACGGACAAGCAAATGAATGAGACATGTTTTTTACCGCCTACGCTAAGTCGTAAACTTTTTTATGGCCTTTGCAAAATTTGAAACAGTTAACCCAAATGAGCGGGACGGTTTAGCGCTTGAATGAGACACTTGTTGATAATTTTTTCTCTGTGTTTATATAATAGTTGAGATTTGATTTGTGTATTCAAAATGGTGAAAATAAATGTTGATGTGAAAAAGTTAATCGTTTCTGCTAGTGAACAAGGTAAAAGTTCAATTGAAATAAGTGAATTATTTGGTGTTAATCCTAGTACAATTCGTACAATTGTTCAACGATTCAAGGAATCAAAGGTTTATGAAAAGCCTAAAGCTCATCGAAAAAAGAAACTTAATCAGCAAATTATTGATACAGTGAAGGATTGGTTAGATGTTAATTGTCAACTTACATCGGATGAACTAAGGGATAAAATTCATGACGAGTTCGGTGTAAACGTTCATTCATCGACTGTACATCGGTATATTCAAGGTTTACACTATTCATTTAAACGGATATCGATTGTTCATGAGAGAAGAAATTCTCAACAACAAATACAAGCAAGACTGGAATATGCTCGACGATTTATTCGTATGGATAGTGATCGTGATAAATTATTCTTCATCGATGAAACAGGTATTCAAATTCATGCGAGACTCAATTACGGATACTCGATACTTAATTAGCATTCTCTTGTTATGATTAACTTTTTAAACCACAATCACCTTGAAAATTTAGATATTCAATTACAATGTGAGCAATTAAAAGCCACGTAAAGATTAAATTCATTGTCTGTTACTGTATACTGAGATTAAATTATAATCAAAATTTAAATTGTCATCGTTAATTGTTTCAAAAGGTCTTTGTGATTAAATATTAATAATTTAATTTAATTTCTATTCGTAATTTGAATAATCAATTGATAGCTTGATATGTTGATTGTTGGTGTTACAAAGTCTCTTGGAGACAATCAATTGAAAGTTTGTATCGAAACTATTCAAAATTATTTGATCAAACTCAACTTTAGCTTGAATCAATTTATAATGAATGTCTTTCCAGTTTCTATGTGACTTAAATCTATATGATTTTATTATCGTTCCAATAATGAACTTTATGTAAAACGGAGCCAATCTTTGACCGAAACAATCTCTTGGTCTTAAGCCGAATGGAATAT